ACTTCCTCGTAAAAAATCTGCGTCATAGCCTTTGCACGTTTTTTTCTTTTCTTATAATTTTTCTTTGTTTTGTCTTTGATAAATAATCACGATCTATTATTTATTTATTTTTATTTTTTTTTCACATTTATGTTATGAATCAAAATGAACCTTTTACATTTAACACTCACTTCCAGTATTGATATCAGCAATATTGTACGTTTCATCAGGTTGCCCATTGCAAGTATAATGAGTGAACCATTACTTGATCGTAACCTCTGATTACATGTCTAGCCTACAGCTGAGATGTGAGCAATTATACGTTGTATCGATTTTCTGCTGCAAACTTCAGAGTTTCAGTGTTCATTATAACAAAGTTTATAGATTATTCAACCCGGAGCGAGAATAAACAATTCTAGTTCAGTTTTAAGGCTTAATCAAACTCGTTAATCAAATGGAGAACACAAATGCTTTTTTTCTATCAAGAAGTCAAACTTTGTTACATCAGCGACTTTTTTTATCTAAAGAAAGTTAACATGTTTCCCGTTCATATTTTGCTAAGAAACGAAAAACGAAATCAAATGGTAAAGGCAGTGCCCAGATCAATATACATGTGTTAGTGTCTTGTTTTTGTTTGTTTATATGGATATGAGTGTGCGTTTGTGAATTTTGAACAATAATATTTCAAAACCCTTATGTCTGTGTTAACAATGACAAAATAAGATATGCATATATATTTGTATTTCCATTGAACTTAATATACCTACCAAGATGAACAGGGGATATTTTTCAATGAACTTTTCAATTGTAAATATATAATCTGTCATCTTAAAAGCTGGAATAATCTGCCTTTGCTCCAAAAACTATTTGTAGTATGGCTAGATTTACAGTTGTATGTCAATTTCAAAGTTTAACAACTGCTCTCTCCATTTTGAAAGCGCGAAGGAGAAACCAAATGCATCACTTTCAAAGGAATTTCGTTACCGTCTGTAGCTCCATCGACCACGAGACTTTGTTTATTTTTATTTTATTTACTTTGTAAAACTGGCCGTATTTATTCATATACATTGCCTTTCATGACTTAGGTTGTGTTACAAATAAAAGTTTAAAAATATATAAGAAGTACGATGCATGTTTCGGCAAGTTCTGTGGTAGACTTGCATAAGTCCAATTTTTATAAAGAACTTATGAGAAAGGTTTCAAAATCTTACTAAATATACATGAAAAGATTAAATACGCTGATGTTTATGATTATTAACGTTTGAGGGACTTGAAACAAACTGTATATACTGCGAAGAAGTTCATATGAAAGTCGTCTCCAGGATCATCTGAGGTTTATACCTTATAATCTAAACATTACATTTATCCATCCTTAAATTAACACTGCTGGGACCATAAGTCTATGTTAACATTGTTGGGACCATATGTCTATGTTAACACTGATGGCAACATATGTCTATGTTAACACTGATGGCACCATATGTCTATGTTAATACTGATGAGATCATATGTCTATGTTAACATTGCTGGGACCACATGTCTATGTTAACACTGATGGCACCATATGTCTATGTTAACACTGATGGCACCATATGTCTATGCTAACACTGATGATACCACATGTCGATGTTAACATTGTTAGGACCATATGTCTATGTTAACACTGGTGGCACCATATGTCTATGTTAACACTGATTATACCATATGTCGATGTTAACATTGTTGGGACTATATGTCTTTGTTAAAACTGATGGCACCATATGTCTATGTTAACACGCTTGAAACCATATGTCTAAGTTAACATGGTTGAAACCATATGTCTATGTCAACACGTTTGAAACCATATGTCTATGTTAAGATGGTTGAAACCATATGTCTATGTTAACATTGTTGGGACCATATGTCTACGTTAACACTGATGGCACCATATGTCTATGTTAACTAGCTTGAAACCATACACTGATGGCACCATATGTCTATGTTAACACGCTTGAAACCATATGCATGCCATAATATAATAAACCAAAACACTGAAGTCAAACGAACTGTTTCATCCTTATAATAACACCAATAATTACTGTGATATCTGTAGTACAGATATCGTTTGCCGAAATCTGTATTTTGAACGAATATTGATCCTCGGGTGACTTCATGTAACGTCGTCATGTAATAATTCCCGACTGAGATTACTAGACTTCACCATCAAATATCAATACAATTGTCAACATGTTTGATATACCGTGAAGCAGTGAGGCAGACTTAAATGTAGATGATAGTGCTACATGGCCGTGCCAAATCGATATAACTATTGTCAACATACAGGTAACTGACATTAAGGTGGTACTATTAAATGGTCAGGGACAATTGTCCTTGTTTGGATTATATACCAGTAAATCCATAAAACACGTGAGATTATTACAATTGTTTACCTACCAATTTGTTATATATTCCCATGGAGGATATTCCTTAAATTTATCAATATTAGAACATTGAATATAGTCATTTTTTGTTTGCAAGGAAGAAAAACTTTTACATTTATCCAAAATTAGAAATTCCATCGGTCATAGGTATGACGCATCCTATACTTACGACAGGTTATATACTCAATATTTTTAACAGATCACACACTCAATGTTCTTACAAAGCCAACGCTGAACCGTTACAAATAAATCACACTCGTATCTGTTCGAACAGATGATAACCACGCCTATTTAATAGTCACATCTTCATCAGTTCCAGTAGATCACTCAACATTTCTGATGCTATATCATAAACGCATCTGTTAGAATATATCAACACTAAAATTAGAAATACATCATTACACATTCAACGGTTCCAATAAATACTAGTCTAAACAGAAAATACCTTTAAACGTTCAACACGATTACTGACTCGTCAGTTTAAATCGATTGCAAAGTCGATCGTTGATATAAATCGCTCCATCAAAGGTTTGAATAGACACTCAATGACTCTGTTCTAATAGATCAGTACTTCAACTATGTAAATATACTCCGACAACTGTTCAAATTTTTCTTACTTTGAGCTATTTCATATAAACAGCATACAGTTATACAAATCATACAATTAATATCAGAGCTTCTATAAAAGAGAAAGACAAATAATTTAGTAAGCAAGTAAAATGTAGTGGTCTTGTAGAGAGTGTAATTGGCTTTTTTGCCTTTGGTAAAAACAAATCAAGCAAATTTTTTGTTTAATGTAAGAGAATCCGGAATGAATATATCCAAAAGTGGTTAATAAGACAGGAGATAGATTACATTAGTGTTTCGTTGAATACTCGGTTCAAACATTTCTGTCGGAACTTTAATACAACGATGACATTATAGGTAGTTTTGGTGGTAACTTTTCCTTCGTATTGTAGATCAATATTTTATCGGTTAACAATCAAATATTATTTTTTAACTCTTTATTTATTGAGTTTCATCTTTTCTGTTAGTGATATGCTAGATTAGAAATAGTTTCACATCTTAATTTTCTGATATTTTTCTCTTGCGTCTTTGCAAATATTGGCAGAGGTGGACCGAACCAAATTATTATACGTAAATTTTTACCGTTTGAAGTGAAAAAAATATTGTACTATTATTGATCTATCCATTACCCAGTGGGTGATTTGTTGAACCTTAATGTTGGGAAATAATATCTGTCCCCGTTTCATTTCTTCATCATCATCCCTGTTTGTGTTGAAATAATAATGGGCAACTTTTAATTGCAATCCTTTATGCGAAATTGTATAGTGCCTGTAACAATTATACGAGTACCAACATCAATAATTAAGTGGCAATGGGATATTTTATATATGCAAACTTAAGTTGTTGAAGCAAAACGTATAATAGTACGTTTATGTGCTGAATTAGAATGTGATTTCCTTATATGTTATAAAAGCGATTAAGAAATGCATTTTTTCCCATTCTTAGCATGTGTAAAGCCTTTTTTCTGTTTTATCAACATTTCCTTTTTTCTATGTTGTTGTCCAGCTCATGTTGACGACATTTACAAAGGCTTGGGATATGTAGAATTTTTCACTGGACCCAGCCTTCCTGAGGGCAACTGTCGTGGTTTAATAGCATACTTAAGACATTAGCAAGAACTTACTTATAGTACCCTGTGCCGATTAGTTCTTTCTCATACATCATTTTCATTTAAACTATGTGTTCATCAAATTCTCTATTTGAAATTAATTTTAATGGGTATATCTCCCAAAACCTTCGGACTGATGTCAGATTTCTAGGGAGACGACTTACCAAGTCTAAGATACGTTGTTCGGTACAATAATCGAATTGAGTCATGACGTATTTTCGAAAGCTTCTTTTAAAATAGTTTAAGAAATATTTTGTTTGAAAAAATGTTCTAAAATTTAAATTAAATACATTTTCGAATAACCGATGATTCGGTGACGACAACATCTACTGCAAGTTGTCAATAAGATAACAAACAACGGAATGTTGGATTATTTTTCACTGTAACCTTGGCATAATATATTTTTTCGAAAACTTGTATGTTTAAATGATCCATCTGTAAAAACTCCGAACGTTGTTGGTATGTAACTGTTACAATGAAGTCAATAAAGAGTAATCTATTAATTATTCATCAAAGGCTTAATGTATTGTAAAAAACACGAAATATGAACTGCTAACGATTATTAATTTATGGAGCACCTTAAAGCTCAAAACATGTCATTGGAGTGTATATCTGTGGAAATCAGGAATCATATATCCTGCCACATATTTGTTCCAGAAACGCTACCACGTAATAATCATTTCCAGTCTGTTATATTTTACGCAGGCATGACTCTACATACAATTCAATACAATGTAATTAGCAATTGGCAACCTACCTAATACTCATTAACGATCACTATACACATGGTATTGCTCATATATGACTTAGGTTTCTAAATTGATGGCAAACGTTTTCATTATGGTGCATTCGTCTATTGCCTTAATGAAGATAAACGTCGTTTTAGTCAATGTTTCTCATTCATGTCTATTTTTCATTCGTTGTAGATCTGCCTGATACACTGCACCGCTGCACTTAGTAAGTATAACCTGTTTTTAATTCCCATCACTTACACACTCGTCTACAATCAATATATCGTTATTTATGATTAATTTAGACTTCTCTTTAAGTGAACGTAATCGTGAGATTTTACTCCTAAAGTTTATTTCACCCTTACACAGTGTAAAGTATAGTGGTGTTGAGCCATTAGATACCTTTATCATTGTCTACAACAAATATCATAATCTCTACTGTTTTTAAGCTTTAATAACCAAGAAAACCTAACTTACGTCTAGTTGAGATACTCGTTGATCTAGCTTCCGTAGACAATAGTGTTTTGTACTACTAGTTAATGATGGCGGATAAGGACCATGTTAACGTTGTATCCCACAACTCTTCTGTAATTCTATGGGGAAGTTGTTGGTCTCATTACGTTGTATCCCACAACTATTTTGTAATTCTATGGGGAAGTTGTTGGTCTCATTACGTTGTATCCCACAACTCTTCTGTAATTCTATGAGTAAGTTGTTGGTCTCATTACGTTGTATCCCACAACTCTTCTGTAATTCTATGGGGAAGTTGTTGGTCTCATTACGTTGTATCCCACAACTCTTCTGTAATTCTATGGGGAAGTTGTTGGTCTCATTACGTTGTATCCCACAACTCTTCTGTAATTCTATGAGTAAGTTGTTGGTCTCATTACGTTGTATCCCACAACTCCCACAACTCTTCTGTAATTCTATGGGGAAGTTGTTGGTCTCATTACGTTGTATCCCACAACTCTTCTGTAATTCTATGGGGAAGTTGTTGGTCTCATTACGTTGTATCCCACAACTCTTCTGTAATTCTATGGGGAAGTTGTTGGTCTCATTACGTTGTATCCCACAACTCTTCTGTAATTCTATGGGGAAGTTGTTGGTCTCATTACGTTGTATCCCACAACTCTTCTGTAATTCTATGGGGAAGTTGTTGGTCTCATTACGTTGTATCCCACAACTCTTCTGTAATTCTATGGGGAAGTTGTTGGTCTCACGTTGTATCCCACAACTCTTCTGTAATTCTATGGGGAAGTTGTTGTATCCCACAACTCTTCTGTAATTCTATGGGGAAGTTGTTGGTCTCATTACGTTGTATCCCACAACTCTTCTGTAATTCTATGGGGAAGTTGTTGGTCTCATTACGTTGTATCCCACAACTCTTCTGTAATTCTATGAGTAAGTTGTTGGTCTCATTACGTTGTATCCCACAACTCTTCTGTAATTCTATGAGTAAGTTGTTGGTCTCATTACGTTGTATCCCACAACTCTTCTGTAATTCTATGGGGAAGTTGTTGGTCTCATTACGTTGTATCCCACAACTCTTCTGTAATTCTATGGGGAAGTTGTTGGTCTCATTACGTTGTATCCCACAACTCTTCTGTAATTCTATGAGTAAGTTGTTGGTCTCATTACGTTGTATCCCACAACTCTTCTGTAATTCTCTGGGGAAGTTGTTGGTCTCATTACGTTGTATCCCACAACTCTTCTGTAATTCTATGAGTAAGTTGTTGGTCTCATTACGTTGTATCCCACAACTCTTCTGTAATTCTATGAGTAAGTTGTTGGTCTCATTACGTTGTATCCCACAACTCTTCTGTAATTCTATGGGGAAGTTGTTGGTCTCATTACGTTGTATCCCACAACTCTTCTGTAATTCTATGGGGAAGTTGTTGGTCTCATTACGTTGTATCCCACAACTCTTCTGTAATTCTATGGGGAAGTTGTTGGTCTCATTACGTTGTATCCCACAACTCTTCTGTAATTCTATGAGTAAGTTGTTGGTCTCATTACGTTGTATCCCACAACTCTTCTGTAATTCTATGGGGAAGTTGTTGGTCTCATTACGTTGTATCCCACAACTCTTCTGTAATTCTATGGGGAAGTTGTTGGTCTCATTACGTTGTATCCCACAACTCTTCTGTAATTCTATGGGGAAGTTGTTGGTCTGAGTAAGTTGTTGGTCTCATTACGTTGTATCCCACAACTATTTTGTAATTCTATGGGGAAGTTGTTGGTCTCATTACGTTGTATCCCACAACTCTTCTGTAATTCTATGGGGAAGTTGTTGGTCTCAAGTTGTTGGTCTCATTACGTTGTATCCCACAACTCTTCTGTAATTCTATGAAGTTGGGAAGTTGTTGGTCTCATTACGTTGTATCCCACAACTCTTCTGTAATTCTATGGGGAAGTTGTTGGTCTCATTACGTTGTATCCCACAACTCTTCTGTAATTCTATGGGGAAGTTGTTGGTCTCATTACGTTGTATCCCACAACTCTTCTGTAATTCTATGGGGAAGTTGTTGGTCTCATTACGTTGTATCCCACAACTCTTCTGTAATTCTATGGGGAAGTTGTTGGTCTCATTACGTTGTATCCCTGTAACAACTCTTCTGTAATTCTATGGGGAAGTTGTTGGTCTCATTACGTTGTATCCCACAACTCTTCTGTAACAACTCGTTGTATCCCACAACTGTAATTCTATGGGGAAGTTGTTGGTCTCATTACGTTGTATCCCACAACTCTTCTGTAATTCTATGGGGAAGTTGTTGGTCTCATTACGTTGTATCCCACAACTCTTCTGTAATTCTATGGGGAAGTTGTTGGTCTCATTACGTTGTATCCCACAAGTTGTTGGTCTCATTACGTTGTATCCCACAACTCTTCTGTAATTCTATGGGGAAGTTGTTGGTCTCATTACGTTGTATCCCACAACTCTTCTGTAATTCTATGGGGAAGTTGTTGGTCTCATTACGTTGTATCCCACAACTCTTCTGTAATTCTATGAGGAAGTTGTTGGTCTCATTACGTTGTATCCCACAACTCTTCTGTAATTCTATGGGGAAGTTGTTGGTCTCATTACGTTGTATCCCACAACTCTTCTGTAATTCTATGGGGAAGTTGTTGGTCTCATTACGTTGTATCCCACAACTATTTTGTAATTCTATGGGGAAGTTGTTGGTCTCATTACGTTGTATCCCACAACTCTTCTGTAATTCTATGGGGAAGTTGTTGGTCTCATTACGTTGTATCCCACAACTCTTCTGTAATTCTATGGGGAAGTTGTTGGTCTCATTACTTTGTATCCCACAACTCTTCTGTAATTCTATCCCACAACTCTTCTGTAATTCTATGTGTAAGTTGTTGGTCTCATTACGTTGTATCCCAACTATTTTGTAAGTAATCCCACAACTTGTAATTCTATGGGGAAGTTGTTGGTCTCATTACGTTTGGGGAACGTTGTAATGGGTAACAACTCTTCTGTAATTCTATGGGTAAGTTGTTGTTCTGATTTCTTTGTATCCTACAACTCTTCTGTAATTCTATGAGTAAGTTGTTGGTCTCATTACGTTGTATCCTACAACTCTTTTGTAATTCTATGAGTAAGTTGTTGGTCTCATTACGTTGTATCCTACAACTCTTTTGTAATTCTATGAGTAAGTTGTTGGTCTCATTACGTTGTATCCCACAACTCTTCTGTAATTCTATGAGTAAGTTGTTGGTCTCATTACGTTGTATCCCACAACTCTTCTGTAATTCTATGAGTAAGTTGTTGGTCTCATTACGTTGTATCCTACAACTATTTTGTAATTCTATGAGTAAGTTGTTGGTCTCATTACGTTGTATCCCACAACTCTTCTGTAATTCTATGGGGAAGTTGTTGGTCTCATTACGTTGTATGCCTCAACTGAATTTAGTTAACCCTTAAGATCTATACATCATGGACATACAGACTCTTCTCCATTCCCAGCAAATCTTTTGTTATTCTTTAATATGCCAACAGCAATAGTTTTTAAACCTTAATTGTTGTTGTTGTTGTTGTTTTGTTGTTATTTTTTGTTTATGACATTTCCCCCCAACCAATGGTTGATCATTTCCATACTAGATATCGACAGCTGACGCCAGATGCATATTTATGGACATGAGTATGAAATAATTTCGTGTGTGATATGAAGATCCTTAAGGTTCATGCTCTTGTTTGTTACGTTGTTTCTTTTCTGATTCTCATTTTGAGAACGTGCTATCACCTGGATTGACCGAGACTATCACAACTGTCGTCGATAAGGAGGTTTCCTTTCTGAACTCTGGAACTTTCCTTGTTTTCCTTGCACATTTTCGTGTGTATATAATGTTGTAAATATATTTGGCTGTAATTTTAATGATATCGAGTAAATCCCATACTCTCGTTGTGCACTGCGGTATTTTTATTTTCAGAAAATACAATGCTGAGTAATACCCACAATCGATCATTCAGCGATAGTGATGGCGTCATTTGTATATTTATGCCTTAGTAATTTCTAATTATTTGAGGTTTTTACTTCGTGTATCCTCGGTTCCTATTGGTGACTTCATTTGTATATTTGTGCCTTAGTAATATCTAATTGTTGAAGGTTTCCACTTCGTGTATCCTCGGTGCCTATTGATGTATATCCTTTAACTCTGTCTCTTGTTGATCATACCTCTTTTCATGGTTGTTTTATCTGCTATTTCCTTCCCTTTTTCGGATTTATATTTCCTTTCGGATATTTCCTTGATTCACGATGTTTTTCCTTTTATCAGTGTCTCCTTAGTTTGCCATTTCGCTACATCCTTTGGTGTTTTTGCGGTTCTTACAGCTGTATTTGGGTTTCCGCTTCTTTTGATTTGGTTTTCAGGGAAAACACAGAATTTGAATTCAGCATGAACGCCTGTCAAATACCGTGAAAGATGATTTGTTTACTTTGTTTATCTCCGTCATTTTGTTAATTGCTAACAAACAAGTATTTTGCGCTATGATGTCGATACCTACTGTTTGAATTTTCCGTTACATCAGATAGAAACAGGACGTATTTATCTTCGTCTAAAACGTTATCAGGAAAATGTATCGACTGATGAATTCCTTGTTTAGCTTTTGGATGACGGCAACACTTTAAAGTGAATAAATATACCGTCCCATCGATTATGGTATGATCACCTATATTGGTGTATAAAGAAGTTCGACGCACATCACGTAATTTTATAAAAGGAGTGACAACATGATCGGCAGACAATGCACTTAAATAGGTGAGGTAAATGTCATTCAGATTGTGCAAGCATGTATTCATTACATGGAACGTTTGCTGAGTGTTGCTCTGGTGTCTTCTACTTAATGTGTTGGCCAGATTGTAGGTTGTATTACGTACTTTGTTTTAGAGCAATTATCTTTGATTGGTTGACCAAGATTTACATGGTAGGTAACGTCAAGACGATGACCCTTCCACAACGCCTGGTCTTATATACAATGCACATTCTCCTTGTACTTTGTAAGGGACCCTCTTGTGCTTTTGATTTCACTTGAGATTTTAAGGTTCTACTGACAAGTTGGTATGCTGATTGGTATATATCAATATCAGACATCGAGATAAATGTGCTACATAAAGTATCTAATCTGAAAATACTGTGCCTCATGATTGATCAGCGAAGAGCCAATCTTAGATTATACTTAGTATTCAATGCCAATTGTTGGTACTTCCCTCTCTTTAAAGCAAATGCAAACAAAACAAGTGTGTTAGTTTATTCCAATTTAATTTTCCTATGAAGACGAACAGAAATGAAGCTAAGGCATAAGGCATAAATCTCATGAAAGTCTTTTATAAAGACATTGAGAATGCTAAGTCATTTTTGCATAGTTAATTTGGCCTTTTTGAGATTCATCCGATGACGCTGTTTCAGGCATTCAGTTCTCATATTAATCGGATTTTGTGTTATTGCGGAATGCAATCTCCACATCATTTGAAGTGTTCTATAGTAGGGTAAAAGTTCTCTCCAGCACCCAGTTGTGATCAGGTAAGTCTGATTGATCGACACAAGATGACAAACAAAGGAAAACTCGATCAGCATTCACGTAGTCGCCCATTAAACTGTTTATACTGTAATATTCTGGTGAACGGAAAGAATTCTGGATATTTATTCCACGAATGAAAACAGAGAATTACTGGCGCGTTCGATTGATGATGAGGACTTAATGTTCAGGTAATGACAAATACGGATGTCAGAAATAACCATTGTAGTCCAAATAACTCCTATCAAAGGCAAGATCGATGATGAAATATGTTTAGACCCATTAAAGGCTGGCTCACACAACGATATTAAAGAATAAAAGAACGTCATTCTCATACTGAAGCGATTTTGTCAATACTGTTGAGGGCAAGCCTCATCTGATTTATATATCCAACTCGTCTTTATCTTTCACATCAGTGGACAAACAACAACTGGTCCATATAGTCGATTTGTCTTGGTCATTTACTTCTCAGAGTAAACCTCGCCTTGTCCATATTGTCCACTCGTTTTAATCATTCACCTATGAGGTTAAACATTATCTTGTTTATGTTGTCCAACTTGTCTTCATCAATCACCTCTAAACTGCACCAAATCTTACCTTACATAATATTCTAAACAGAGTACATATACCTCATTGGAATACTTAATATTCCTGTCTTTAGGATCCACCATACCTTTAGGGATTGTCTGTCTATATTAAAGATATGGTAAAATATTCTTATTGTCTTTTACTGTAGAATGAAGGATTTGCTGTCAATATCAAGAGAGAAATGTTTTATCAAAGATCATATTTATAACCCAAAACACTTCTTTTATTAGATTTAAAATAAACGGTCGTGTCAGAAACAGTTAAAGGAAACATATTTATTGCAGATAAAAACATCTAGTGGACTTTTGTTTGTTTGCTTTTCTGATAGGTAGTTCCTAAATTTTACATTGAAAATGAGCGGCTTTCTTCGCTCGGAGAACATACTTTAGAGTTAAATGCTATAAGTCCTATTAACTTATTTCTAACTGATAAACCCATCATCTTACGCAATCTTCCAATAGGTTTAGATGAAAACAAAATTTCTGCAGCATTCATGAGTCGAATGGTGCAGAGGTAACAAGCTTGCCTTGCCCTATCATCCAAGCGATCGGGATTTGAGTTCCCCGATCGGACGTAAACGGTATGGGGTCACCTGCCCGACGACATAGTCTTTCCCAGGGTGATTGCTCCAGTTTGCTCTTTTCCAGTTCACAATTGTTGAAAAATTGATTTTTCGAAAACCACACCGTTTTAATGTACGACAACAGAAAAGGTGAAATTCACCTTCCCTCACATAAAATAATTGGAATGCGATCAATTAACTTAATCAAGTTGCTGTACAACATGTACAAGATCTAACCTTGAAAAAAACTTCAATTTTTATTTACTTCTAACGATTTGTCGCCTTAAGAAGCAGAAAAGAAAATTAAGAAATAGACAATGTGTCTCATAAAGATTGTAATATAAGAGTCAGCATCAGCGGAGGTTAAAAAAAATTCATAAATGTCGACAAATAAACTTCAAACTCAAAAACGATGAAACGAGAACAAAACATGAACCGTTGAAAAAAAGTACAAGGATTATAGGACTTCCGCTTCATAGACGATATCCGCCATGCAAATGTTGGTTAATAAATGTCAAGTTCCCATGGGAGAACAATGTTTATCACAACTAAACCATCAGCCATCTGCGACAAGTAACCTAGGAGTCTATTGACAATTCTGTTTAAAAGCAAATAAAGCTAAAAACTAATATGAAATATTCATAATTTCGGAAGAATTTTGAATTATCGTATTTGTTTCGTAAAGATTGATGATATGATAATTAATTTATTTCTAATAAAAATTCAAAAATATTTGACAAGGTTTTCATATTAATTTAGTACTGAACGTTTAAATGTGAATGATCCTTTTACAACAAAATCTGCATATCCGATCAGGAAATGTTCATTACTTTGACTGACACCTGCCTTTGTATCCATTCCTCTAGACCAATGTATTTTTAAATAAAACCCAGTAAGGTATAAACTAATGCGTCAAAGCAGTTTACTTTCCTTTTTACTAAATATTATTTTTTCATTTTTTTTCTTTTTTGCCGTAATTTCTCATTCCACCAATACCGAGATGACCTGATATCCAATTAATACCAAATGATTGCCAGTATAGTAACATATAACACGTAAGATATTATCCTAATGATGAGTTCCTGTTTTGATACTCTGAAGTACTTTTCTTCCCTTTTTTACCGGGGTATGGGTACTGTTATCAAGGAAGTGAAGATTGCTGTTTATGATTATGTACACGTATAAGAAATTCTTAGAGGTCTTATTCCATCAAAAACTATCCACGTACCATTGCAACCACTCCACTCCTCCTGAACAACTTACAACTGCCATTATTTTCTTCAGAATACCACGGCTGTTTTGAGGTTGATAAACGGAACCGAGTGTTCACAGTGACCCCCGGGGATGTCCGTCCCGAGGACCTCACACCAGCCAACTGTGCAACGAAATGTGGTGTTTGGCTGTATAATTACTGCGGACTTGAGTACGGTACGACTAGCTTCATGATTTTGGCTGTAACACCCTGCTACTTCGACACACGTGTTTTGGTCACATGGCATAAAAGCTGGGTGCGGGGACTTTATAGTGTAACGATGCATACCATCATTGATAATGGCAGAGAGTACGTCATGGCAGAACAAACCATTGATTCCATCTGTTGTCCGATATGATATATTCTGGTTTATGACAACGTCTGATAAATGTTTCACAGTATTGATAAAAACGCCCTTTAATCATTATCGATAATATCACTGTATTCTTGTTGATAATCGTCTCTTTCTTCCTTTACAGTTAACTTCAGAACAATTGTTTTTTAACAGGAAAGTTTTGTAGATGTGGAAAAAATCCACCTCCAGAATCGAAGCGATCAAACTCCTCATGTGTAACTAAATGTATGGGCGACGCATCCAAGACATGTGGCGCGAAAGACTACATGGAGGTTTATACCACTTCTCCGCCAATTGTTGGTTTGGCCCTGAACGCCTCGGCGGGAATGGCAGAACCCGTGCTGACCTTCACAGATATCAATCTATCAATTCACACCGACAGCGCCGGATTGGACACCGCCTTTAGGATGAACTATGGCGATGGGGCGGGAAGGACAGATAAAAATGCGACAGGCATGTTACAACACAACTACGTCACACCGGGCACTAAAAAAATCACTGTGTTCGCCAACGATTACAACGAAACTTTAGTGGTAAGTAATAGTGTTCACCATACGATACTTCTTATTCAAGATTTACGGTCTTTATAGTGATATCATTGAGAAATGAAGTTGGACGTTAGTTTGCCTGTTGGTTCCGTTATTGTAAACTTGTTCTCATTTGGGAACGTGACACTACTTAAATTGACCAAGTTTTACACGGCGGATGTAGCAGAAGGCGCTCACTGTTCCGGAACAACTGGTCTTATTTTCCAGGAATCTCGGTACAATTTTTTCTTTTGTTAATGTTTTGTCTTAGTTTCATCGACTTTGTGTTCGCATGAAGATAATATTGACATATAAATATGTTGACATGTCGGTATTTATCGTTTACTCCAGGAAAAGGTAGTAGCGATAACAATAGAAGTTGTAGCGCCTATAGAAGGGATAAACCTAACCTGCCCAGACTATATGGCTTCGTACGAGACAGCACTGTGTACATTATGGATAATGAAAGGATCTTTAATCAAACTGAAGATTGACCAAGACGTAGACAAAACAGAAATTCTCTCACTCGCAGGTGAGTTGTTTTACATGATGACGTCGATATAAACTGCACCATATAACTGCCACATTCTCTTACACAGTGGCCCCACGAGGTTTTGAATTATAACACATGTAAATATTCTATCGAAGGCTTGCTATCTCTATGTTCTTTGACAATACTCCAGGTTTGCAGGTCTCACATACTTTACGTTCCTTTACCCTGCTTAGCTCTCAGAGATCGTCTAGACGCAACAATCTTACCCTGCTTAGCTCTCAGAGATCGTCTAGACTCAACAATCTTACCCTGCTTAGCTCTCAGAGATCGTCTAGACTCAACAATCTTACCCTGCTTAGCTCTCAGAGACCGTCTAGACTCAACAATCTTACCCTGCTTAGCTCTCAGAGACCGTCTAGACTCAACAATCTTACCCTGCTTAGCTCTCAGAGACCGTCTAGACTCAACAATCTTACCCTGCTTAGCTCTCAGAGACCGTCTAGACTCAACAATCTTACCCTGCTTAGCTCTCAGAGACCGTCTAGACTCAACAATCTTACCCAGAGATCTTACAATCTTACCCTGCTTAGCTCTCAGAGACCGTCTAGACTCAACAATCTTACCTTGCTTAGCTCTCAGAGACCGTCTAGACTCAACAATCTTACCCTGCTTAGCTCTCAGAGACCGTCTAGACTCAACAATCTTACCCTGCTTAGCTCTCCAAGATTCGCTTTTTTATTTCAATTTTGTATGGCTATTTCTACTCCAAGCGACTGATCTAAAATGATTGGTGCAATTCATAAATAAGTTGAAGATTTTATGCTTTAATTCTTTATGGCCCCGTTGTATTTGTTTTTTTTCCATGTGATTTCGAGAGATATATGTTTTGATCATAGTCAATAACAGTTCCGTGTTTACTCTCCTGAAACAGATGCCAGTACTCGTGTCGTTGGTATACCAATACCAGCTGTTGGTCCTGCCATTCCCGGGAGTTCTCCAGCTACTCATATCGTCGCTCAGGCGTCTGAATTCGAATATCCGGGAAAATTGTACGGGATTGAATTTTACGCGGAGGCAACAGGATCCATCTCTCTCAAGGTAAAGATAAGGTCTGGTGATCACGCGTAATGGTTTATACAGGAATAAAACAAACCAGTACGCCAGCTTTCGATTACATTTTAAGTGGATATAGATATACGAACTGCATATGTCTTGGATCCAGAATATTATTTTGATGTGTTAAGTGAAAACTTCTTTGTGGGGTATAATTATTGATCAATTTACAAGCCACAATACGATGACATAACTATATCATACGTATTAACATTGGTCAGTGACAACAGAAGGTAGAAGTTTGACAGATGGAAAATGGAGCTCTAAAGAAGATGTTGTTAGCCACCGAGCAGAGAGCATTTGGCGAGTTTAACTTAATGATTTATTTTTCAATAGGTGTTATGTCCTTCCTGTAACGATTACTGCTTTGCTACCAATATATGTGGAGGAACGTGTCCAGGTGTGAATGACCAAGTTTGTTCCCTATCCCAGCGATATTGTTTGTCCGGTCATGCGTGTTGGAGTAGCGGCCCCTGTGTTAGTCCTTCTCGATATGATGGGACCCAGCGTACAGACCTTTCAGAACTTTACTCCAAAACCCACACTATAACTGCCACCGGATATCACTACCTACCTATCACTGACGATGTTGATGTAACTCCCGGGTGCGTGCTGGGCTTCACGGGAGCCAAATTGGGCGCTCGCTCTACCAATGATGCTACCTTAGCAGATGTAATCACCAGTAACTTCGCTGACAAGACTGCTGCAACTTCTGACTCGAAGAGGCACTTATTACGGGGTTACACATCACAAGGAACAACACTTGAGTATTCAGTTATGTTTTACACATCCGGCACGAAAACTATGACCTTTACTCTTCAGAACGATGGAGTCTCTTCGTTGTCCCCAATCGTCCTAACGAAGACCATCAACTGCGTTGAAGGCGTGAATGCATCTGTGATAACTATCCCGAGTTATGTCCCCGCGTTAGTTCCGGTTCTGCTTGAGACACAACAACACACGGGTAAGTGCAGTCTTTAATGATACACAAATCTAGACCCTTTTTTAAACTCATATCGTACGATGATACTGGTTAATGAGATCAACCACTGTATGGTGATACTTTTAACATGGTTTACGACTGTATCGTGACCCCGTTCAACGTGGTGAAAAATTAAATGCTGACATCGTTTAATATTGTTAAAGACAATATCGTGACAACGTTTTATATGGTTAAAGACAATATGGCGACAACGTTTCATATGGTTAAAGACAATATCGTGACAACGTTTCATATGGTTAAAGACAATATTGTGACAACGCTTCATATGGTTAAAGACAATATCGTGACAACGTTTCATATGGTTTAAGACAATATTGTGACAACGCTTCATATGGTTAAAGACAATATTGTGACATCTTTTATTGTGGTAAACGACTACATGGTGATGCAGTGTAACATAATTAAGGACTATAACGTGAATCCTTTTAACATGGTCAAAGACAATATCGTGACATCGTTTAACATGGTCAGTGACAATATCGTGACATCGTTAAACATGGTCAAAGACAATATCGTGACATCGTTTAACGTGGTCAAAGACTGCATGGTGACACCGTTTAACGTGGTTAAAGACTGCATTGTGACACCGTTTAACGTGGTTAAAGACAATATCGTGATATCGTTTAACGTGGTTAAAGACTGCATGGTGACATCGTTTAACGTGGTTAAAGACTGCATGGTGACACCGTTTAACGTGGTAAAAGACTGCATGGTGACACCGTTTAATGTGGTTAAAGACTGCATGGTGACACCGTTTAACGTGGTTAAAGACTGCATGGTGACACCGTTAAACGTGGTTAAAGACAATATCGTGATATTTAACGAGGTTAAAGACTGCATGGTGACATCGTTTAACGTGGTTAAAGACTGCATGGTGATACCGTTTAACGTGGTTAAAGACTGCATGGTGACACCGTTTAACGTGGTTAAACACTGCATGGTGACACCGTTTAACGTGGTTAAACACTGCATGGTGACACCGTATATTGTGGTTAAAGACTAGATCTTGACATTTAACATAGTTAAAACTATATCGTGACATCGTTTAACGAGGTTAAAGACTATATGGTGACATAGTTTAACTTGGAAAACGACTTTATGATGTAATGTACGTAATGTATGTAACGACTATATGGTGATACAGTTTAACGGTGTTAGCGTTAGGACTGTACAGTGATCTTTATAATCATGTATGATTATGTATCTTAATTACCCTTCCACATGGAAAGCACATGCATCTGACATCAAAATTCAATAACCGGTACAACCATTGTTCTAACTCATCAGTTATTATTCTGGCCTAGCGTAGTTTTCACAATCATACTGGCGAAGTTACTGGTAATATCATACGAAAATCAAATTAAAATACTCAACTTTGTGAAATTATAAAGTTATTAATCACTACATAAATATGATGTGACATATTCTAGAGCAGACATTGGAGAACCAATACTCACTGAAAGGGAACACATACATGTACCAGAACGCAATGTTCACTGACAGGAGACCTGGGTCAGAAATTAGTATTTACTGACAGAGGACCTACACCAAAATATAGTATTTACTGATAGGAGACCCACACTAAAATATAGTATTTACTGATAGGAGACCCACACTAAAATATAGTATTTACTGATAGGAGACCCACACTAAATATAGTATTTACTGATAGGAGACCCACACTAATTAAAGTATTTACTGATAGGAGACCCACACTAAAATATTGTATTTACTGATAGGAGACCTACACCAAAATATAGTATTTACTGATAGGAGACCCACACTAAATATAGTATTTACTGATAGGAGACCCACACCAAAATATAGTATTAACTGATAGGAGACCCACACTAAAATAAAGTATTTACTGATAGGAGACCCACACTAATTAAAGTATTTACTGATAGGAGACCCACACTAAAATATAGTATTTACTGATAGGAGACCTACACCAAAATATAGTATTTACTGATAGGAGACCCACACTAAAATATAGTATTTACTGATAGGAGACCTACACCAAAATATAGTATTTACTGATAGGAGACCCACACCAAAATATAGTATTAACTGATAGGAGACCCACACTAAAATAAAGTATTTACTGATAGGAGACCCACACTAAAATATAGTATTTACTGATAGGAGACCCACACCAAAATATAGTATTTACTGATAGGAGACCCACACTAAAATATAGTATTTACAATAATACCCACACTAAAATATATTTACTGATAGGAGACCCACACTAAATATAGTATTTACTGATAGGAGACCCACACTAATTAAAGTATTTACTGATAGGAGACCCACACTAAAATATAGTATTTACTGATAGGAGACCCACACCAAAATATAGTATTTACTGATAGGAGACCCACACTAAAATATAGTATTTACTGATAGGAGACCCACACTAAAATATAGTATTTACTGATAGGAGACCCACACTTAAATATAGTATTTACTGATAGGAGTCCCACACTAAAATATAGTATTTACTGATAGGAGACCCACACCAAAATATAGGAGACCCACACTAAAATATAGTATTTACTGACCCACACCAAAATATAGTATTTAGATAGGAGACCCACACCAAAATATAGTATTTACTGATAGGAGACCCACACTAAAATATAGTATTTACTGATAGGAGACCTACACCAAAATATAGTATTTACTGATAGGAGACCCACACTAAATATAGTATTTACTGATAGGAGACCACACTAGGAGACCCACATATAGTATTTACTGATAGGAGACCCACACTAAAATATAGTATTTACTGATAGGAGACCCACACTAAAATATAGTATTTACTTAGGAGACCCACACTAAAATATAGTATTTACTGATAGGAGACCCACACTAAAATATAGTATTTACTGATAGGAGACCCACACTAAAATATAGTATTTACTGATAGGAGACCCACACTAAAATATAGTATTTACTGATAGGAGACCCACACCAAAATATAGTATTTACTGATAGGAGACCCACACTAAAATATAGTATTTACTGACAGAAGACCTACATTAAGATGAAGTGTTCACTGACAGAAGACCTACACTAAGATGAAGTGTCCACTGACAGAAGACCTACACTAAGATGAAGTAGAAGACCTACCACACTAAAGATATATGAAGTGTTACTGACAGAAGACCTACATTAAGATGAAGTGTTCACTGACAGAAGACCTACACTAAGATGAAGTGTTCACTGACAGAAGACCTACAATAAGATGAAGTGTTCACTGACAGAAGACCTACACTAAGATGAAGTGTTCACTGACAGAAGACCTACACTAAGATGAAGTGTTCACTGACAGAAGACCTACAATAAGATGAAGTGTTCACTGACTGAAGACCTACACTAAGATGAAGTGTCCACTGACTGAAGACCTACACTAAGATGAAGTGTCCACTGACAGAAGACCTACACTAAGATGAAGTGTTTACTGACAGAAGACCTACACTAAGATGAAGTGTCCACTGACTGAAGACCTACACTAAGATGAAGTGTCCACTGACTGAAGACCTACACTAAGATGAAGTGTCCACTGACTGAAGATCTACAATAAGATGAAGTGTTCACTGACAAAAGACCTAACTAAGATGAAGTGTTCACTGACAGAATACCTACACTAAGATGAAGTGTTCACTGACAGAAGACCTACACTAAGATGAAGTATTCACTGACTGAAGACCTTAATCAAGGTTACGTCATCGTAGACCAAAACCGAATATTACATTTATAATTACATTTACATTAATTACAGTTACTATAACTGAACATATACTATTCTGTTAAAACATGAAAGTAAATGAATATACGTCTGAACGCGAAATGCTTTGACATAAATGCTAAATTTGACGTCATAACTTGAATGTTTAATTGTATAACATTTGTTGACAGGAACTTCGTTGACGTACTACTGGTCTATAGAGAGTGATGGAGTGGTCGCGCAGGTCAACACTACAAATGATAACGCCGACTATTTCACATTTGTCAGGGGGACTTTTTCAGTGTCTGTCATAATAGAGAATATAAGAAGTCGGAAGGAAAACGCGACAACCGTTATAGCACAAGAACAGATCCAGCACCTCGCGCTCACACAGACCAGTTGTGTCGTGGACGAGCTGTGCTGTATCAAACTTTCTATGTCACAGGGTTCGGATTACACTTGTCAATGGACAGTACAAGGTGAGTTTATGCAGGCATCTGAACGGAAGTCACTGTTCCATACGGAACAGACAACTTATGATAATATACCACCAAACGCCTGCTACAACTACATGTTCGAATTTGAGGACCTAAACCAATACACAGTTTCGGTGAGCTGTACCAACGGTCTTGGCTCGGAGAGCAGTTTCACAAAAATTATTGCTAGAGAACGAATACAGAATGTCAATTTCGAACAAACGGGAGCACTTGTTGGTCAGTCCTTTTACTTAGCATTCACATGGGGAAGTGGTAGTACCGATCTAACCTACTCCCTTACTTTCAACAATACACAACCGTCCCTTGTAAAGGACTCCTTTGCGAACAGAGTAAGGACTGTGGTGACGTATCCTGGAGAGACTGACACTTCTAAGGTATACCCTGTTGTTCTAGTAATGACTAACGATGTATCTCAACTCACGATTAACTTCAATTTTGGAATAGAAACCCAGATTATAAATCCGTCCGTTACTCCCGACTTTACACTTAATCAAGATGGGGTTGTTGTTAAGTCTAAAGGTGAATCTGTTAGTTTTTCTGTCACGATGGATTCTGGCACTAACCCTAACGTTCACATCGACTTCGGTGATTCATCAGCTAATGTAACTATGCCTACTACTTCGACCTGGTCAGGAACTCCATTTGTTGGCAGTCATACCTACACTACTTTGGGTGATTTCACTGTGACAGTACGTGTGTACAATACATACAACATGTTTGTATTCACATATAGAGTGCTCGTTGTGAAGAGAGTGGAAAACTTGGCAGTTAATGTGAATGCTCCACAGATTTTATTTAATCCTGCGGTGTTTGCGGAATTCACATTCATACAGACCGTGATAGAGGACGCACCGAATATGGGAACTGTGGTGATGGATGACGGTAGTGGATACCCAGCAGTGGAGGCAACGTTTGCTGTCAATACACCAATATCCTTTCCGTTCTATAGGAATGGAGATTTTGTTGTGACATTTAACATTACGAACCCACAGAACTCTCTCATTTTGACTAAGAGTGTACAGGTGGTAGAGATAATTGGCACCATTACGATAACACCTCAAGGTTATCCTCATGCTCCTATTGGGGAATTAATCAGCGTCGATGTCACACTCGCACGTGGAGACTCTGGGATTGACCTTCAGCTTTCATTCGATCCTGGGAACGGTGACGCGCCAACAACCAAAAACAGAGCAGGTAAGACTTCTTACCAAACCAGTTACAGGGGAGGTAATTCTCATAGCCTGTATCATTAATAGGTTTATTATGTGTTGCACATTGGTTAGGGTACCCAAAGCGGTGAACAGGTACGGTTACACTATTCATCACAGGTATGACAAAAATAAAATCCATAGCATGGAAGTTAAAATGCAGTAAATAATAAGGATAAAAACGGGAAGGCTTCAACATTTTTAACAACACTGATTTTACCTATTATAATTGCTGAATGTGTTTCAGTATATACTGCTAATAAACACGTTGAAATATTGTAAAGCTTTATGTATAAACACATATATACCAGGAATATCAGAATGTGCTTCCAATGTTTTAAGGTATCAGCCCTAAAGGCAAGGACACATTCACAGCCACCTATACAGCAGTAGGTAATTACACAATCACAGTGCAAGCGACAAGCCGGATGGAAACAAAGACACAAACCTACGAGATAGTTTGCCAGACCAAGGTCACCGATAACTTTGTTCTCGTCACTGCTCACCCTCAGGAGTTTCCAACTAGTAAGTCATTCCACATATGACCATGCGAGTACCATGTAATTAAGGGAGAAATATTTTCTTACTTGGCGTCACCTACAAGGTGCCATATTATATATACTGTATAACAAAGTGACATATTAGATATACTGTATGACAAAGTGACATATTAGATATACTGTATAACAAAGTGCCATATTAGATATATTGTATAACAAAGTGCCATATTAGATATATTGTATAACTGTATAAAAAAAGTGCCATATTAGATATACTGTATAACAAAGTGCCATATTAGATATACTTTATAAGAAAGTGTTGATAAACTTATTAGTAGTATACTCTTTTGACTTTTAGATATGTGTACTTTACCACATGTAAATAGATAAAAGGTGATCTGGAAAATGTATTGAGTGATAGTCATCAAAAACCGCCAGTGTGGTTATTACTGTTTTTAAGATAAGGTTTCTCTTCATTATGAAAGGCTTCGTGCAATAAGATATTCTCCGGAAACGCATTGCAGGACAGCTTTTCCACCCAAAACACCATATTTTTAAGTCTCGTGACGTTCACTCTGTTTGTGATGGTATTTAGTGTTAAATGTTTTGAATGAATCAATCAATCGATTTTACTCTCTTTTACAACACAATGCACAGATAATCAATTTGGCAATTCAATATACAATTATGAAGGACAAATGCATTAATAACTTATTCTAACAAAAGTACATTATTTCTTTAAACTTTCAATATTTCAAAGAATTTTGTTTCGTTATGTTTTTTCCAAAATATCTGTCTATATATGACGTTCTGATAATCAAGGCCATTTAAGCAGGTAATGAAATTCGTCACCCATTTATTGTGTGTTACAATGTGGACTTCATACTTAATATCACAACATCTACCAGTTTCAGCGATGAATGTGTGATTGAGCAGTTCATAATCTGAAGAAAGGGACAGAAAAGTCTAACATAATTTCAGCCTAAGCTGACTTGTGTTGTAGGTATAGTGCTGCAGTTCCAGTATAATGATGACGCACCAACTGATGCGGTATACACGATTGACAATGGAGACGGTACCACGGTCGGTCCAGCCGCTCTCAGTAGCTTGGTGGTACATAAAGGCATTCCTGTGGATATTACTACAACGTACACGTTTGATGGCGATTTCTATACAACGATCACCGTTTCCAATCTTGTTTCCAGTTTTTCCCGCACAATCAATGTACGCAGTTTTCTCTTCACTTACTTTTGTCTATGATAAATTAACTTACTAAATTCAGAACTCAACACCCCTTCAATGTTTAAACCTATTTCATGGATGGTTTCATATGGTGTCAACTTTGCTCGAAAAAAAGGTACGACAAATACTAGACAGCCTTGCTGAATCCCACTGGGAATGATCGTAAATCTGCTGCTGACAGAACAGTTATGTAAGATTTTTTAACATTGATTCTGTAGACAGGACTTGAATTCCATAAGTTTCATTAGCACACCTCTTATGAAGCCAGTAACATATATATATATATATATATATATATATGTGTGTGTGTGTGTGTGTGTGTGTGTGTGTGTGGCTTCCACACATCTAGATTTTATAATTGTTTCAATATTAAACGAACAAACAATCGTTTGCAGAGAAACCTTGATTAGAGAAAAACTATTGTTTAACGTTTAATTGTCGAAGAATGATATTTTTGTATATAACTATGTACTAACAAATATATCAGATTTCTTGAATGTTATCAGAGCGGGGTGTATTTACCCTTCCAAGGCCTAGCTGTACAAACAAGGTATAAGCCTGTTGTTGGAAATGACGCGGAAGGATTCGGGGTATCAAAGAACACGTTCCCTGCTGGAGCAGTCAAGTTTTATATGAGTAGCACCCAAGGTAGGGCCTTAATAACATCCCTAAACACCAAGTAATTAATACAAGTGATATTATACACTTTACGATATCAGTAAAAGTTTGTTTAAGGGACAATTTAGTCAAGTTTTATAAATATTTTTTCACGTCAAAAAAATCTCTCATGGAGTTGTACTAGTATTGAACTATGCATGTCCGCTTCCAAACGGGAGCGAGTAAATGAGTTACAGGGTCTCACACCAAACAGAGTACAGACTGTAAATGTATGTGAAAAATACTAATCGCTGTTGGGCCAAAAATATTGAGAAATGAAACTACTGTATGCAACGTATTTAGGTCAATCATAACCCACAGAAAGACTTATATTACCATGCCATCGCTCTGTTCCGCCATCATTTGGATATGTTTACATACAACTTGGTTCCCGCCAGAGGGAGCGTCATTTCGCTCTATATGACGGTTCTTGATATATTTAGCATGGGCTTTCCCAAAATTTGAACAGATCAGATTATGCAGTGACTACGTAGCAAATAACTTTTATACACTAATTTTTTTCATCTGGATATGTATAATTTCGTTTCTACTTGAATTTAAAAAAAAACGATGATTGATTGAATTGTTCCTTTACACCTTCCCATATTGCAGCGTTCACTTTTCAGACAAAACATGCAGTAAATGGTCAATTGTTTTGTCCATTGTTGGGTTTACTTTGTTAAATGTGGCATCAATTAAACAAATATTTTTACTTTAATTGTTCCAATGAGTTCTGTTTAATGGAAGCTGTTACTTAGAACTTACTGTAGCAAATTTAGCACCGTGATCTGTATGTTCCTGTAAGTCACTGTTCTTTAAAGGAATCACTCCGGTCTTTAGCATACAAACACCATAAAAGTGAAAAATGACATCGGTTTGCCTTTTCCAGGAACGTTCGTATATTACGATGTCAGAAAGACATCCAGTGGTACCATTCAAGTCTGCAATATAACAACCAAAGACGTGTTTGAACTCAATTTCACAGTAAGTAGTAACTTAGTCCATTAATCTATTTTATGTCAAACATGTATAACTGCTGATAGAAGTGATTGCATTCTCTCTTAAATAAATCCATTAAAGAAAACACATTAAAAGACTGTATTCTGGATTACTAGCTTCAAGCTGAGTAACTGTTTAATCGTGTTAACACAAACAACAAGCCTTTGTGTTTACTTGTTTGTATTTATACGAAGGGAGGTAAAACGTTTGATATAGTGTCAAATTTCAGCAATTTTACCTCAACGAGAAATTTCAAAATTGAGAACGACCTGGATTAACATTTCCATTGGTGAAAAGAAAAAGCAAATTAATTGCCATCTTTACATTCCTAGAAAGTTAGTTAAGAGTGTAGTCAGTGTAGACTGGTCATTACTTCTGACCTCAACCTCTTTTAACGTACCGAATCAAGGACACGACAGTCTCCTCTACATCAGCCGCTTATCTCGATCTTTTCCTGCAACCTACATGGATAGCTTTCTTCAGCTTTCTGCCAAGCTGTTTGATAATCATTTTGGTCTCAATTTCCTTATTTTGAATTTTCCATTTTTGCATAGCAACAAATGATGCATGATAATGAAAATTATGGAACATCTGAACATTCACTTTGTACGCTTCAGGAGTGGCCGTGTAAACCTTTCTTTTGTCTATATAATTGCCCTAGTTTTATTGAATTTGAGTTTGGATTATGATAATGTTGACATGTTGATATTTTTGTTTTATTTATTTATTTTTCTATAGCAGTAAGAAACTAACCATACATCTAAGTATGATAATCTCGTACATACCAAGTAATAAATTAGCATTATATTAATTATCTGCTGTATGTCTGTATCAACGCTTCACAAAACATGTACTTCCATTTGTTTCAGAGTGGGACATACAACATTGATATCACAGCAATGAACTACATACCATCTCACCAGCAAACAGTTTCTACTACAGTCATTATTCAAGAAGCCGTGGAAATTGCCAGCGTTTCTCATGATGGAGAAACGACGGCTGTAGGTAGTGTTAAGACAATGGACATCAACTTTAATGATGTAGGAGATCTTACATGTGTACACATTGATCTGGATGACGGCAATTTTACTATACTTGGCCATTCCTCTACTTGTTCTACAAGGTATAACGCCTCTATGTTGTCAAGCTACCACCAAAGTACGCCATTAACATCAGTAACTACAATAACCCACACCTACCATCATGCCAGTCTTTTCACGGTAACGGTAACTGCTTTTAATGACGTTTCCGAGTCTTTGGGCACATTAGTGCATGTCGTGGCTGCCACTATGTGTTCACTCCCACAGCTAAGTATCAAATCACCAGGACTCTCTTCTGATATCCATGCACCTGTTAAATTTAGAAGGAGCGAAATCATTGCCTTGCTAGGAGAAACGATAATAAATTGTTCTGAAACATTAAATAACCAGAAAGAATGGTTGATCGTTGCGGTTGATGACTATGGAAATACACAGAGAACAATTGATGTTACAAGTATACTTTCCTATAATACATCTGAATTGGTACTGACGAAGAACTTTCTAGATTTGGGTGATTATAAAGTCAGTTACAAGCTTACCATGTTGCCAGAGTCTAGCACTGTGCCTTTTGTTACGTCTGTCCATACGTATATTCGAGTGGAGGCTTCACCGTTGGTGGCCGTGCTGTTCCCCGGCGGAATGTCTAGGATGCAAGCACAGTATGGGCGGATCCTAACTCTTGACCCTGGCACTCTTTCCTTTGACCCAGATGTACCTTCCGGACAACCATCGGTAATGATAAGTGCAACTTGAATGACAGAAACATGAAAACCATTTGGTTACGATTGTATGGTGGAATTATTCCATTTGTAAAATTGATGTTCTTCTAGAATGATTGACATCCTTAAAATGTGTCAGATCTATTTCTTTTTTTAGAAGAAATTTCATTATGGAACGAATGTCTCTTTTTTGTATGAAATGACAATTGATATTCAAACAGAAATCAACTGCGTAACCGACACAATCTCATTGGTCATAGTATTTCTAGCTACAAGTGGATTGCATACAAATTGTACTCTTTATATGATACAATTGTATAAGTGAATTGTATTTTGAGAAGAAAACCATCTAGTTGACTTATATGTGTCAAAAATGCAGTGCTTTCGATTGGAGTTATCCTATATGAATCATTATATCGCACTGGCTACAACAATACTATGACCTCCTATATATATTGTTTATATTGCAGGAATTCTCTAGCTGCAACTGGTGGTGTAGAAAGTTGCCTGGCAGTTTCGATGAGGGATTTGAGTCGTTTCCATTGTCTAGTGCACAAGTGGCGACAGCGACAGACAATGGTGGTTGTTTCCGACAGGGCAATGGTAGGATTGCTACTAATGCTTTGCAGTTGGAGTTTAACACCGATAACATGCATGTTGGAGATGTTTACGAGTTTAAGATCATTGTGTACAAGGATGATGGGCGTCAGGCTGAAGCTCGGGGAGAGTTAGAAGTGACCGATTTCTTACCGCCAGTAATTGTACCCAGGTTAGTTCGATATGATAGATATTCGGTATGTTTTAACGTTATATTCAGAACTTCTGGACACCACGTCCCTGCGTCCCCAACCTATGGTGGTAACATGTCGCAGTTGATTCGATATTCAAGGGCCTCCGTGTAAATCTTATTTTATTGAATTTCAGTTTGGTTTATATTTATCTTATCATTTTGGTATTCTTGTGTTTGGTGTTGTTTTTTCTAAACCTGTTGCAAAGTACATACTTCGATTTAATAGTTAATAATTAATTACGTTTTAACGTTCTGCTTCTTATCATATTTACACCAATGTAACACAATCTTGCCTGTGACAGAGTACATAATAATGTCTGTAATACGTCTAATACTCTATCTATGGTTACTGCATATAGATGTTGTGCTGCTTCCGAGTGTACACAGTTACCTGGCGGTGTCGAAGTTTCGGCTACAACGAAGTTGTCACTGTGCGCGGACTGTCAGGCCAACTGCCAACTCGTATCCTCATATAAATGGACACTGTCACAGGAGCAGTTCCAGTGGGGCTGGGAGCCGATCCCGTATAGCTTGATTGCGCAGTACATCAACGGTAATTACTTATCTATTCATTGATTTATCATTTATTTTTTATTTATCTAAATTTAACACGACAGTAGCATGTATAACCAATACAATTTGACCACTTTAAACGTCTTCCTTTCACTAAATGCTCACAGGTCGTCGATGAGTGACATGCACGAGCGGTATCTGGATTATTTGCACACTCACTTCTGATAAAGTTTGATTAAAATATGTCACATCTTTATCAAATAAAGTAGAGAATACCTTGATGGATAACATTTACATATATTAGGTAACTTAATACAATTAATGTTTCCTGTAGAAATCTTGGTTCTTACATACTAATTTAGATCTAAGACAATGCCGACCGTTCGAAATGTCGAGGAGAGCTACTTTTGAACCCACACATGTAAAATGCGATTCGTGAAAAAATGTTTCGAACATTATTCCCATGTATTTACGGATGTTGATAAAGTAGTTGTTTGAATAAATAATCACACGATGAGTCCTAGAATCTGGAAGGACGAAACAGATATATGATGCTGTTTAATTTGTTATTGGTTCCACTGTATTTAATTCTAAATTTGTATTGAAATATGTTAACTTGACTTGTGTGTCGTTTTTACAGTCTTCATAATGTTATATTTGTTATCATTTTCACAGTTATAGTACTACCTTCATACCCCATGGGAAAATACCACAAGCAAACGCAGAGTATGCGTATATTGAGTTGCAATATGTATTCATGTAGAAGTGAGGGGGGATTTGTCCCATGTTGATACATAGAATATAATTACACAAAACTGTGTGTTTTTTAAATAAATAAATAATGTGGCATAGGATGGTATCTTACAAACGAGTGATATCCGTAGTGTGACTTGATAACATTTGATGGGTCAATTTCTAGAATTGCAATACAAGCTATGGCTAGGTGATTCTTGTTTCGCCGACGAAGCGATAAGAGTGATTCTGCTGAGTGCTCTGTCAACATCTCTTGTCATTTAGGATGGCTTTCCAATTTTCCAATTTATAAGAGGCGGTCGCAAATTTTGAGTTTTTTTTTTCTTAGACTGCGATATATTAGTGGTAGTGCAGCACTGATGCTGCCTTTATAACACTACTACACTAAAGTATACAACCGGAGGGTGCCCTATAGCCAGCCAAATATGAGGTAGCTACATCGGAGGCTTTAGAGAAAGTTTGTATTTAATGAGCATTTCGAATACTAAATTTAGAAGCATCTTCCGATTCATGAAATAGAGACTGCAATCAAGATTCTCAGGCCCTATCAGCGGGACAAAGAGGAGTTGTCATCATCATCGCCTATACTGAAACTTATCTCCAGTATAGCGTCATGTTCAGGCTGATCAATGGGTCAGAAACAGTGTGCCCAGGCCATGAAATGACGGAAGGCCAAATGATATTGGCTTCTATCTGTAATTAATCACCTGCAATTAAATCCAGTATTTATCTATCTGACTAGTGTTATAACATGTTTTATGCGTTTTTTGCCCTGGCAAGTGTTTCAGTGATACAGATGGATTGTAGATATATGTACAACAAATAATTGTCACGTAAACATGAATTGGTTTTGTAATCAAGAATAGAGAAAACAGTGTAATCTTGCGTAATCTTGGAAGTATAATATGTATGTGTCAAGAACATATATTCCGCACTCACTGTTGCATTTATAACCAATCAATGTCCTACTTTATCCTAGCTAAGGGTGTATCACATTTTCAGACAAATTTAAAATTAAAACCTTAAATTCCTTGTATTGTTAATTTCGCTCAGATTTTCGTAGCCCTCACTTCGTAGATATATCTAGCGTTCATCGGTCGCTGTGCGATTCCATGACTTTATGAAATATATAATTAAATCCCTTATGAAGAAGTAAAACTATTGTTATTGATTGTTCTTATTTTATCTTACTAGATGTGATTGTTTCTGATCTATGTTTGGATATATATAACCTTATTTATGCCTCCGACATTGTCCTGTCTTGAACAGTTTCATTTCAATGTTTTTCTTCACATTGTCACATATATTTAATCATGCATACATATTTATTACGCACCGTTTTCTTTACGTTTCATGCACAGGAGATTTACCATGGATTTTAACAATGTTGATCATGGCACTATTTTTAATATTAATGTTGTTTTGTTTGTTCCAATTTTTTACTGCGCATGCGTGCGGTAATCTGGCGTCATGCGTTTCGCATTTTACAGGACTTCTTGGTAAGAAAGCAAACAAATAGTTCCCCAAATCGCCCCAGTTAATCATTGTTTCTTATTGCAAGACACTATGTTCAAGTTCTGAGAGAGAAAAAAAGCAAGAAAAACGTCATCAGTTTTTCACGCGCTTTTCTAAAAATAAATTACCTAAATTAAATAATGATGCGGGGTTTTGATGTATAATTGCAAGATACGTGATTAATAATGGACATAGTGTCTTTGTAATAAGATTATATGAAGCCTGCTGTAACCACCAAGTAGCTGCGCATCACCGAACTCTTTGTTGTATATAGGACCAATTATAGCTGAACGCTCTACTTCGATACAGACTGCTCTCGTATTAGCTGACGATGTTTAGTCTCCTGCCTTTCTATCTCTACATGTGTAGTTGATACTTTCTCGTGTAGATTATCAGTAGTTCACAAACAAAACTACATTGTAGGCACAACTTATCAAAGAAAACATCATTTTATATTTCAGGAAACAAATAGATATGTCAAGCAGTATGTAAACAATTGTTGTATATTACTTGTATGCTAGAACATAACCTGCAGTCTATCGAACTAGCTTAACTGTTTATTAGACAAACCATATCTTTCCTTTCAAATAATTTTCTGGACAAGTGACAAATTTCTTGATGTTCTGTACCTTTCATAATATCCGTTCTAACGACATCCTAAAGCATTGTCAGCATCAAAATCCCTTTTCTTTGACATTTAGCAATAAAAAAATGGATATCGACCGCCAGTCCAATAGAAGACGGCCATTATTTATCATATCAATCACATTTGATTCTGTGAAAAAAGGCAAGAAAACAAAAAAAAACAAAAACAAAAAAACAATAGCAAACCACGAAAAAAAGCAAGTTGGCCGATCAAAGCAGCAACGACACTCTATGTGAACTGGTAAAAAAACGTGTCCTCCATATATGCAGTAACGTCGCCATACGTTTTGGCAGTGCTTTGCGCCAGTGCAAACATGTTTTGACGCAATCAGAACTCTTTGTAAACTTTGAAGAATTTCTTCAAGCTAAATATCGTTACTTGGTTTTTGTGTTGGATTATAGTGTATGATTTCCGTAAGAATAGATAATTTGTTTGTACATCTTTTATAAATCAATATTTAACGAATACCGTTTCCGGTGTATCCCTTGAAAAAATCATTTATATGAGCCCCAAATGCTGCTTATTTTGTTAGCTGAGTTCGGTCAAAAACCTCTCATTCCGATAGTAGACGAAATTTTCTTAATATGATAACATCTAAAAACGGTGTATATCTCTCTTTTTCACGGTGAAACTCAGTGGTGATAGATAAACATGTTTGCCCTTATCTTGAAAGACAGTTATCCGGTACTACGGTCTTCTTTAAGATCCATGATACTGTTTAATCATATCCTGTAAGATTTTGAGGTAGTAGTTTATAATTGTTTGTTATTGAACAAGAAGTCTATTCTTCCAACACTCGGATATACAATAAAGGAATCCCACATTTTAATTACATTCCATAAAGTTAACTACAGTACGACTGTTTTGTTACTTTTATTCTTACAATAAATATAGCCATAAAGGTTCCACTACAAACAGTTAACATATTTTAGCTTCACATTCATGATCAAAATTAAACACTGACAAATTCGATACTTCGAAATGTCTATGAAATTTGCGGCAATTAGATAATGCGTTTAATACATCCGCTAATGTGTAGGCTTGGCAATTATTCTTATTCTTTAACTGCATATCCCTCTGTCTGTTTGCCATACCTCTCTTATCTCTCGAATTTATCCATGTATATTGATGAAATCTCGTTGTGTTTTGGACGACATCAAGATAATTATTTTCCGTGTAAACTGCTTTACCCTGAGATTTCTTCTCTCAGTTTCGACTTATCGTTTTTAAAAACTTCGCAGTCTTTATCATCCCAACATGTAGCAATGTTCCCGCTGCCAGTTTGACTCGACCAGGTTTTGGTAGAGTTATTGCTCTTTGTTGTTATTAGTTTTTCTGTCTTCGCCGGAGATTCTCTTCAATGGCAAGTAAACGTAGGATTGCTGATTTAGTTAACGTTTGTTTGGTAGAAAGATGGAAATGGTAAAAACTGGGTCCATGAATGCTGTAAATTGGCATTGTTCATAATGATCGTAAATTATCATTACTATTCGCTCCCTTCTTAGTATTATTGTTGTTAAGAACTTATGGGGACAAGGGAAAATACCCAGTTAATTATGACGGTTGCTGTTGCCCGCTATTATCTTGTTATATCATATATTTACCTTCTGTGTTGATATTACTTTTTCTCGTTACAGACATAACAAAATAGATATATAGTGTATATAAGTAGTTTGAAAAAAATGAGCATTTAATGTTCATCAAATGAAAGTTATTATTTCCTTATAACTGAGAGAATCCCATTTACATTTAGAATTGCGACAAGTATTAAAGCTTTTATGTTTCATTTGATTTTAAAGTATAATATGTTCTTTATGCAACTGTTTGTCAGTTGTTTTCTTATTAAAATAAGTTTTGTTTTAGTCAAATATTGACGACATCACCTATAAACCTTTTTATTTCGTTTCTTCTTTTAGCCGATTCGTCTGAACTGATAAGTTTCAAAGAGGGCATTTTCAACACAGTTGCGACTTCAAACCCTATGCGTATCTCGTTGACAACGACCTTGACTAACGGAAACACATCATCAATGTCCCTAGACATCATAGTAAATAAACCCCCTGCTAATGGAACTTGTACTGTTAGTCCTGGAACAGGCCAGGTGACTACCACTATGTTCACGTTAACATGCCAAGATTGGGTAGACGTTGATGGTATCGCACGGTATGCTTTCTACGGTATGTATGTCATAATACCTATAAATATTTCTTTCTAACCTCTCTTTATGCCAGAATCTATAAAAAGATCCTCGTATATTACCGACATGGGCATCACATGATTGCCTTGCGCTTGCAGTGCATATACCGATGTAATATTTTTGCAAATTACACATTTGTTATATGGCTTTATGTGACGTCACTTGATAAAATGACGTCAGAAATTCAGAGGTTGCAACTATGGACACCATATAGATACAGAGTTGATATGACTTCGAGTTTGTAGAAATTCCCATTTACCACAAATCTGCATGATCATGTGTTAAATGGATATTGAATTCTTTTCCATATAAGCAGAAATTTATGAAACCTAACATTAACTTTCATTTTGACTCGCATTTAGATAAAAAAAAACTCATAGACTATATAGTTATATATGTTTATATACCTATGTATATATACATATTTCTTAAATATTTGATAAATAAATGTTCATGATTTTAGTGCGTTCGCTAGTTCAGAAGATATCAAAAGCTATTTGTGTATACAGTGAACCATATTAGTAGAACACACAAGACAACAATACAGGAGACTGTTTGTTATCTGAATAGAAGATACATAGTGTTGAATATAAGCATTCTGATGTGGTCTGTTGTCCTGGATATGTAAAATAGAACTTAGGAGTGAAACATAAAAATATTACCAAATACCACATTATATTATTGTTTCATTATTCATTTGGAAGTGAAGAACTATATATCTTGAATTTCTCTGGTTTTTTGTAATCTTATGACAGTGAAGACAAGTGGAAGTCAAAAAGAGGTAATGCTCGGATATGGGTCGGAGCCCGAGTATAGTTGTAACTTCCCTCTGGGTCCCTCGTATGATAATTATAATCTACATACCTGGGTCCGCATCACCGACACAAAGGGAGCGTCTGCTGAGGTGTACATTGGAGTTGTCACAGTAAGTTAAACATCCTGTCTAGTATATCCCTCTTCATTATCTTAAAAGTGTCATTCAAGTGAAAGCTGGTTTATGAAGACCGCTGAATAAAGACCAAGACCTCCGTTTGGAACTATGGCTTTTTGTCTCATGGCGTGTGTGTGTGTGTGTGTGTGTGTGTGTAGGTGTGTGTGTGTGGGGGGGGAGGGTGCGTTCTATTGCATAACATAATTTTTACAACGACCAATTTTACTTTTTGAAGCCGCTGAGTTAATTCTTGTACATTTTTTGTTAATCTGTTGCTTTTCATCGTCTGTATCGTCTGGTTTTAAGCAATTCATGGAAACCTATTTCTTAAAATAATTAATGAATTGTATGCCCTTTAAGTAATATTATATGAGCTATGTACAATAAGCATTGAGCAACAGAAGGCATTGTCATCTCTATATTTCAGGTAAATCCTCTGAGCGCCGATGATTTAGAGGCGAGATTGATCGCACTCAACTCCGGCGATAACGACGAGATTGATCAGGTGTATGCTAGACAAGACGTGAATGAAGTGTGTTCTATGGTATCTGAATTGGGCAGTTTGGTCAGCCAGCAGAGTAAGGCGACGTTAGCAGGTGCATGATTACTTAGTTTGCATTTAAATAGAATAACCCAATCCTTTTATTTGGAGTGTATTTCAGAAAACATTCGAAATTGACTAATATGATCGACGAATATTTTTTTATATTATAAGTAGCAACCTTGTAAACAGAGCAAAGGTAAGCAACATGGTTGAACTCTCATTACCCACTAGGTAGTTAACAAACCTTCAGCATGGACTAGTTTGAAGCATGATATTAAACCCATAACACTTAGCATGCTAATTCCATCCCCGGAAATGTTTACATGATATACATATATATTTTTTATCCTATGTTTATCAATAAGGCATATTTCTCTCCACTCGTCACACGTCACGGACAACGATGAGCAAACAGTAGATGTTATATCATCTATGAATGAAATGATGCATGCATATCTTATATAATATTTACCTATACATCGGCATGTCAAGTGGATTCTTCACCAAGAATTTAAACAATGTTATTTAGTTTAATATGTATTTAATCGAATGCAGTAGTGTGTGAATCACCTATCCATTACCCAATCAAGCACGATTTGGTTTAAGCATGTATTTATTAATGAAAGTGTTATAGATGTGGCTTTACCAATCAAATCAATTACTGGTGAATTTTACAGTTTCAATTATCTTTGCCGTGTTGAATCATTCAATCATCTCCAAACTAAGCTATGGTTTGCTTAATTACTTGAGAATAATATTATTGTAGAATTTGGAGAGAACTATCCTGCTGCGTTCGGCACACCAAACTACAATGACCCGGGAAATGAAAATCCACAAAAGCTGGACCCAAATGTACGTGGCATATTTGATATTAATAACGGAAAGTGTTTAATTTGTGTTAACGGATATAATGATTAGATAATGAAGTAGGAATGTAAATATGTTGAATATTTTGTTCATTCAAATCAAAAAGTAAGGATTTTCTCCCAGTGAATGTTTCATAATTAACGCCCTGTCCGATCATACTTTTAAGTTTGATAATTTCTTCATTGATAGAATCCAATCAACGAGACGATCCAAGCAGAAGCGGACAGGAAACGGAATGAAGGAGCTAAGGTATAACTATAATTATTGAGATGTCATTTAAAGTGATATAAGGCAAACTGACTACTTATGCTGGGATGGCATATTAGAGACACAGTTAACTTCATGATTCAATAGTTACAATAGTCTGACAGAGTACATACACAGTCAAAGTTATAATAGTCCGACAGACTACAGACATAGTTTAAGTTATAATAGGCTGACAGACTACAGACATAGTTTAAGTTATAATAGTCCGACATCGACATAGACATAGCTGAACTTATACTATGCTGACATTCTACAAGCACAGAGAAAGGTATAATAAGGTGACATGCTTCAAACACAGTTTACTTTATAACAGGTAGAATATCTACAAGCAGATTTACGGTTATAACAGGCTGACAGACAACATACATAGTTAAAGTTATAATAGTCTGACAGACTACAGACATAGTTAAAGTTATAATAGGCTGACAGACTACAGACATAGTTAAAGTTATAATAGGCTGACAGACTACAGACACAGTTAAAGTTATAACAGGCTGACAGACTACAGACACAGTTTAAGTTATAATAGTCTGACAGACTACAGACATAGTTAAAGTTATAATAGGCTGACAGACTACAGACATAGTTAAAGTTATAATAGTCTGACAGACTACAGACATAGTTAAAGTTATAATAGGCTGACAGACTACAGACATAGTTAAGGTTATAACAGGCTGACAGACAACATACACAGTTAAAGTTATAATAGTCTGACAGACTACAGACATATAGTCTGACAGACTACAGACATAGTTAAAGTTATAATAGGCTAAAAGACTACAGACACAGTTAAAGTTATAACAGTCTGACAGACTACAGACACAGTTTAAGTTATAATAGTCTGACAGTGTACATACACAGTTTAAGTTCTAATAGGCTGACAGCCTTCAGACACAGTCAAGGTTATAAGAGACTGACACACTAAAAATACAGTTAAAATTAAAATATACACGGACTACCGACACTAACTACAGGCACTACCTAAGGTGGAATATGTCGACAGACAAACAGACACTCATAAATGGATAATAGGATACGAAACGTGAGAAACGTATATTGTATTTACGACCAGAAATGGTGATTAAAAGAAATGACGTAATCCTCTATTAGAGGGGTTTACCTTGACATATTCCTACGGAGAAAAAAACATGGACAGCTTTCCAAAATCTGAAAAATAGTCCTGATAATTTTGGTTTACCTTTGTGATATTATCCGTATATCCCCAACCTAGGGTGTTGACATATCACAGTTGATTCGATATTTGAAGAATCGTTCCCAATATCAAATATTTAATTTTCTCATAAAATTAGATTCCCGATAGTATATCTTGTAGTTTCACTGTTGTAAACCCGGTGTTATTGGGAATAGAATGTCACATTTCAAATGAGAAGTTAGACGTGTTTGATACTCGTCAGTATCACTGATTGTTTCACGGTTGTTACGTTGTTTTCGTTTAGAAAAAACAACCAGGTATACTGGTATTTCGAGAAAGATTATTTATCACCGAGATCATAGTGACGACGTTTGAATATCCTCATAGTCATCATTAATATACATCTTTCGACACATGAAACTAAGAGATAATGTTCCTCGTTCAGTGTACAAATAGTCTGTTTTGATAAATTCCATTATCTCAAATATCTCGATATTTTCATAATCTTGACTGACCTAGTAACACCTATCTTTGTCTATTCTCTCGGAGAAGAGGTCACAGTTCAACAGCAATGCCATAAACAGATACCCTTATATCGATGTTTTATAAGTGAGAAAACATTGGTGTTATGACCTTTTTCAATTTAAAAAAAATATATCAAATACCGGAAGACTTTGTCTTTGTAATATTTTATCATACTTATGCTTCAGAAAAGACCTTAAGAAAAGTACAGCACGTAGTGTCATTAATCAATTAATATCATTACGATCAAGATATTAGACCGAGATATATGATGAATGATATATATAAAAAAAATGCATCATATTTATATTTTAGATAAGTTCTAAATAAAGTGTATCACGTTCAATATCACATCCTATTGAGTTTATTAAGTAATATATCTAGAATTAAACATTTTGAAACTTTTATGAAAGAATATGTCTATGCAATGAAGCCGCAGATAATATTTATTTGTTGCAGATTATTACTCAAGCTGTCAATAACTTGAAAGATCTACCTCTCCGTTCAACGGAGTCAATCCTGTTGGCATCGTCTGTAGCTGTTTCTATTGCCGAGGAAACACCAGAGTGTTTACCCAGAGAATCACAGGTTTGATTGAAGCATTTATGTAGACAATGTCAAATAAGCTTCATGAGTACATACGACACATAGTAAGATGCGTTGCTCTTATCTATAAGACTGCAGCTACACAGAACAGTACAAATATATCCTTGCCGAGGATCTGGTCTCTTCTTCATTACAGTATACAGTGAATGAATAGAAGATGCTAGTATAAAAACTTGTATAAAAGTTTTTATCAAAAGTAAAATATTGAACTATTACAACTTATATTGATTTGCTGGAGATATGGGGGATGGGGGGGGGAGTTTATCACATTTGTCATTGATATATTTCTCATTGATTGTAACAAACATGTTCTGTTAGATTGGGTTAGCAGATTTCGCAGTGAAGGCGGTAGACACCTTGCAGAATTTAATCGATCAAGATGTTCCCGTTACCATTGAAGAACGGAAAGACATAGCTGGCGTTGTTGTTGGCATTTTGTTTGCGACTAGAGCGGTAAGTCAAAGCAAATAAAGAGAAGCAACTGCTGATGGTAGTGTTGACCTCGCGATTGTTTTCAATGACGTTGACGTCGACGTTGGTGAAAGTGGTAACGTCGGTGTTGTCTGCAGTGTGATTGACATTGTTGTGACATCATAGGTTACGATGAAAACTTTAACGTGTAAAGACAATTTTGTGGCATTAAAGGTTAACGATGAAAACTTTAACGTGTAAAGACAATTTTGTGGCATTAAAGGTTAACGATGAAAACTTTAACGTGTAATGACAATGTCGTGGCATTAAAGGTTAACGATGAAAACTTTAACGTGTAATGACAATGTTGTGGCATTAAAGGTTAACGATGAAAACTTTAACATGTAATGACAATGTTGTGGCATAACAGGTTGCGATAAAAATTAAACGTGTATTGACAATGTTGTGGCATCATATGTTAACAATGGAAGCCTTAACGTGTAACTAAGTAGAGTACTAATTGCACAATACTAGAAGTTAACAACTGGTGGCTTTTTAAACTATACAGTGCAAATGACAACATTGTCCAGTTAAATGATATATCAGTTGCATTAATTAAAGATGAATGAGTATATGAACCGTTTTTTTTCCAACAAGGCTTCTACCATCAATTACGCTCACCCAACTCAGATGGACATCGACAATGTCATTGGAACTGAGGATTATAACACGGATTATGATGCTCCTAGTAAACGTAAGTAATTTAGACAGAAGCTAGCGGAGTCCAACTTTGCTAAACCAGATTGCTTACCATTCAAAATGTTCAACTTTAAAATCATAGGTTATATGTACAATGACATGAACATTTCTGAACAGTAACAGTCCGCAGGAACAGTTTAGGTAATGACAAAACCAACTTCAGTTCATGTGAATAAATGGAATCTAAAAAGATCACTTTTTACAATTTTTTTCAATCAAATCATTGACGCAAAAAGCTATTAGTTACCATAAATACTTACCTGTTGTTGACATCGGCACCCACAACAAAGTCCAGTGCATTACACAATAGACGATGTTCTAAGTCTTGCACTAATTCAATTTATCTTCATACATTCGCTACCAAAACTGATAGTACCTATCACATTGATATAAAACACTTGTGGTGCCATCATATTGATGCCGTGAACTCTTTTTTTTATTTAATTGCATTCGTAATATATTATCCACATTTAAGCTTATTTTTAGAGCATACCAGAACGAATTCTTCTACTAGAGGTACTTCTTTGTCATATGCATATATAAAACCTGTGAACATTCTGCAATATATTAATTGTATTGAATCAAATATTTTTCAGCAATGCCAGCTGATATCGATGATCCTGAGGAGGCCTTTGCTAAACTACTATTTTTCACAAATGAGGATAGACAAAGTGGAGTGGTATGTTGCAATCGCTTTCATCAACTTATGAAAAAACTTATGACAACATAACATAATCACACAAACAAATAGGGTATGAGACCTCTATAAAACTTCCCCATAATTTTCATCAATCTGAATCACTTGAACCCCTGCGTTACGGCAATGGCATATGAAAAGAAATATAAAAAATAGATATTGGAACTGTTTAAATTATCTATATCACGTGACTCCCTCGAGAATTTCTTTGGAAACATGACGTATTTAATTTAATTCTTTTTTTGTTTAATGAGGATTGTGAACAGCGTAACGGGTACGAGTCACTTTCCTCACATTTATCATATAAAATGTACAACGTAATACATTTGTAGACAAGGACATACATCAAACAATAAACAATATAATGATAATAGTAATAACAGACACAATACTGTTACACTCACGTATACATACATATACTCAATCGCATACACACTGTCAAACATTAGCACTCAACCTCATTTGCACTTGCTCACACATCTCAAGTATTCATATACATATGTGACAATAGGAGAAATAATTAGATGAAAGGGTCACGTGAGAGAGGGAGAGAATGAGGGGAAGGGGGTGCAACCAATAGATTCATTGGAATCTAATAGTTGCTTTAATGAGCTCGAAGACAGATTCGAAGATTTTAGTACTTGTTTTCTATCAAGAGTGTCGGACCCATAAAGAAGGAAAGAGCGTTGGTATGATATCAGGTGTAGAACGGTTAGTAGATTGATATTTGGTGAAATATACATATTTGAACTACGGCTTAGAACTGTGCTGTCCATTAACCTGGAGAAGTGATCTTCTTTAGGTCTCCTTGTTTGAAAAAAACACATACATACATACATACATATATATATATTGGACATTGTAACACAGTTAACGAAGCAAGACAATTTGTTTTACCCGTGCCTTGTCCTCGAACTCATATACTAAGGCATCAAAATAGCTAGCCAAAGAAATTGCATACTGCCTAACCACCATGGTATCCCAAAAAGGGATGTTTAATGACAGACAGCAGGAATGTTCTTGACATTATCAGTTTGGCAAAATGTCTCATTACGTGATATGAACACCTGGATCGCAATGTTAATGCATGCATGAATACGAATTTTACATAAAATTAATGAATGCAGACAATCAAGCGGTCCAGGAAGGATCTTTGTTGCTATAGATTTGAGTTGAAATTACGGTTTCTCTTTTTTATCCTTTAGGCATCACTACTCGAAAGTAAAACAAGTGACACTGAAAAGAAGATAGATACTCTGATGTTTGATGGACTTAATCCGAAAGATGACCCGATCGTTTTTGAATCAAGTACCTATGCGGTCAGTTACGAGAAAAACAGTTTGGAAAATCTTTCTGGAAAAAAAATATCTCTTGGAGGTGCAGAATTCGTGCCTCCAGACTACAGTAGAATATTTCCTAATATGCCGAGCTCGACAGCACTTTCTGTAAAGGTAAGCTCTCCTTATTAATGTTTGAATTAGCTTTCATCAAAACCAGTATTTTCAAATGTGTATACACTGTGTATTTGAACGGCTTTTTGTGTCTTTTGTATCCAACCTTTACAACTAACAAACAAATTACAGATAGCGAAAGAAAAGATCTTTTTAATTTGAATTGTATCTCTCCCCTTATATAATCACAAACTCAATGTAACCGCATTACGTTACGTCGTTTGTTCCAGGCTTCATCGTCCGTATTTAAGGTACCAGGTTTAATTGCTGGATCGGAGCCACAAAACCATGAAATCGGCACGATTTCCATTAGTTTATACGACGATAATAACCAGGAACTTAGCGTTACAAACGTCAAGGACCGGTTTGAAATATTTATACCAAGAGATCCGTCCGCGTACAACCCGCCAGCAGTCAATCAAACGCCATTCATCCAGCCCGGCAACGACTTCGCTTTTTTCTTCATCACGGTCTCAAAGGAACGTGCTGCAGTGCAAGCCGTTTTTGACTTTACGGAATCTGAACAACTTCTTGTAGTGGTCCGAGCCGGTGGATTTCCAAACATCACAACAGGAGAAGTGGATCACGTCTGTTTAGTTCCTCAAACATGTAAATATTGACATTTGTTACACTAACACGGTATGACAGTAACACGAAAACAATATTAAATTCTGATTTGTTGTCTTAATTTATCTTCAAAATCAATGAAATGACAACAAAATATGACGAAAACCAATTTAGTCAAGAGACAGTAAAAAAAAAGAGCCAAAAACCAGGTGTTCATGAAGAGTTAACAAATCTTGAATCACCTTCTATATTAATCTTGGTCAACTAAAGTTAGCAATATCATATCCTCTTATGTAAATCAGGTTTACAACATCGAGGTCACCAGGTGTACTAATAAGTTACATTTTATGGTAACTTCTATTTGCAGATGGACAAACAGATGAGACATCAATGACGTGTTCAATCACCACTGACATGCTAGGAGGGTTTAAAGGAAAGCTATATTTTGGAGTTCGCCAATTATTACCGGCGGAACGTGATAAATACCGCTTCAAGGCAGACATTCCGAAGGATTTCTCTAACGTGGCTTCAAACTTTACTTTTAATTACACCTTATCAGTCAGTCAGTCCAACTGTTTGTATGTTAACACCACAACTAACAGATGGGAAACAAATGGCTGTTCAGTAAGTGATAGAAACCGGAAAATAGATACAGTTTTTGACTTATTGAAGACAAATAAGTAGCCTCCGGCATGCTGTTGTGTAAATGACGATGCAGCTAGTGGATTTGAACCTCTAAACAATACAACTATTAAAAATTGCTGAAGATAATGTTTTTAAATCTAAAGTGCATATGAAATAAATTAGTGAAAAATTGAGTTGTATTTTCGTTTAAAATTATAACTGTGAAATGTATTATCTTCCCCTTAATTTCAATAAAAATCATTAATTCCCAGCAAGTTTAATCATTCAAGGGTTTCTTGTTCAATTCAAAACTCGTGTCATATTGTTCATTCTGTTTGTTTTTTTGTTTTTTTTCTAGGCTACTGAGAAAACGAATAAGAGGGGGGTCAATTGCTTGTGTTCTCATCTGACAACGTTCACGGGAGACTGGGCAGTAGCTCCAAACACTATAGACTGGAACTTTGTCTTCTCTAACATGGACTTCTTCAAGAATCCTACCCTGTATATAACAGAAATGGTCATAGCCGCCGTGTATATAGTGGCTGTGATCTGGGCCAGAAGACAGGACAAAAAGGATGTTGAGAAGGTAACCATAAAATGTATACCGTTTATAACATTTTTATTCATTTTACTTCAACTCAAATCAGGTTAACTGATACATGAAACATGTAATATTTGTCATAGCCTACAACAAATGGATACGACAAATCTATTTCGCTTGATAAATGTGGTTTTCTTTGTTTTTATGTGTTATACGAGATGTTTTTAATTACTTGATCGGATGTTATATGTATAAAGATTAAATTAAGTGGACAGAAAAAGCATACCAACTTAAGTGGCAGTTTAGCGTGAATTTCCTGATTGTACATAGTAGATATCATCTCATGAACACAACTGAAACTTCCGTTTAAAACATTCAATTCTTAAATGTCAAACTCGTATACAAAATATCATGATAATATCAAATATGTTCAGTTATTACATCATGTAGGGCATATTCTTTAATTGTCAGTAGACTTTATCTGATCATCTACAGAATGTAGTGGTAAACTGTTAGCTAAGGAAGAAACAGTATTTGATGGAATTTCCATATCCACACTGATTTGGTGTAAACACAATAAAGTAAATCTATTTATACCTTGATACCGACTGAGAAGTTGCTGCTTTATAGAATCAATATGTATTTATTTATTACAATCAATCAACCTTTCTGCTTCTGGATACATTAATATATATACATATATATATGTATGTATGATCAATGAATAATAATATCAGTTGGCGAATCTGGAGCCTATTCGACCATATTCAAAATATTTTTTGTATGTATATATTTTTGGTGCATATAACTGGTGATTTTTATCATTTTTATTGTGACTATATGTACATTCATTAGAAAATTTTACAATAGAAAATATCAAAATAATTCTTTCATTAAAATCAAACGATTCCGTACCTAGAGTGGGACCAAGATTTACCGGTTAACTCGTTTCCTTGGTACACGGATTTTACTTCTTTGCGGCCACAGATATGCTCAGCGGCTACAATGCACAACGTACCGATATTTATATAATACGTTTTTTATTACACCCAATAACTTAAGATGACTTTTTGTTACTTATATAGAGCCTTCGACGTCCATCGGACGAAGGATTTACCGTGACACCTAGATTCACTCTACCGCTCTCGATTTAACTTGATAACTTTGTATTTGTTTTATATCCTATGTATGTAATGTAATTTATGTAATATTTCTGTCTTGATAAAAGGGCAGATTATCTCGAAAATTTGACAATTCACTTGTCCGTACTATCGTTTTTTCTTCATCGATCATATGTCAATTTCAGTAATACCCATGTAACGAACAATTGTTTGTTAGGATCCAGTACAAATATTGGACCATACCGTCGATATTGCTTACTAGATTGTATATATGTGTGTATATCTCTACATCAATTGACATAACATTGGTTGCCTGCAAACTACCTGGATCGATTAATAAATGGACAGTAACGATGTATGAACATTATTAAACTTACTGGATTATTCGGCTAGTGCACCTCCCCATCTGAATTTTTTACTTTTCTTTTCAATGTTGATTTACCTCTCTCGCTCCTTAAACCTCAAATTTAATCAATTTGTACTGAGGAGATCTAGGACAAAACAGCTGCAGGTTGCATTTTGGTCTACTTTTTTGCTCTTCAGTATCTAGATTTAAATATGTCATAAAACATGTTATCGTCTGCCTGTACAATTACCTAACGAAACGAGGCTACAAAAATAATAGGTATTTTGATAGTACATTGAATGATATAAGGAATACTTATGTATATTTCAGTTGGGACTAACACCTCTCATTGACAATGACGTGGCCGATAAGTACTACTATGAAATTGTCGTTGTGACTGGCATGCGCAGGAATGCTGGTACCAATTCAAAGGTATATATTTGTATCTCTGGACTATTTAGGTTTTCGTAGTAAACTATTTGTCATTTTTGGGTTTTGTTCTTTCAACAGATGTCACTCCTTGTAACTGTATTGGCACGTTTATATGTTTGTTGAATGTTACAGTAAAGTTTTGCCTAAAACTGGTTGTCTCGGTGAATTTCGTTTTTTAATATGTACACTGTATCACTGTAATTAACATACTGTTTTATGTCGGAAGGTAAACTTCATACTGTCTGGAGATCTTGATGAGACGGAGGTGCGATGTTTGAATGACAGCAAACGTAAAGTATTCCAGCGCGGAAACGTGGATGGCTTCCTAATGGCTGTGAAACGGTACGAACATTTACAAAAATGTCAACATAATTTCTTTAGCAAAACAGCGTTGTTCCTAAATATACTTATGTCACGTTTGTAACAAACGTTTTGTAAAAGAATGCTTTATCACATCTTCACTTGATTTGTTAGTATGTATTACTAGTTGTATTTCATTTCAACGAAATTGTATCGTACAGAAGCATGTAATTGGATCAGGAAACGACATATAGAGAAAATCTATATAAATTTTCTCCCGATATAAATAGATGAATTTAAATTTTGATAGAATCAATGGAAGGATATAAATATGTACATAGGAGGTTGGTCAATTCATTGAGCAGTAATTGGTTAAACGGAGTTAAATTGGTTAATTTCCAATATGTTGCCAATAGAAAATCCAAAATTATATGTCATTTTTTCATGAAGTTCAAAGTTTAAGTTGATATTGCCTCTCCATGATATATTAATATTACTTAATTCAAAACTGATGAACCTATCACAAATGAACTGTAAAACACTATATTGCACTGATTAGGATCAATTACATAAGTACTTTTCAATTAATGATTAAAATACAAAGCCATATTAGTCAGGTTCTGAAAACGCTAAATGCTCGAAAGAGAACCACAATTAACAGGAGGATGATCAGCGTTATCTGAGTAATAAAATCCACATTATCCAAGAATAATTGCATGCCTGATTGTAGTTTTTATTATATCCTAGTCTTAACGGTCCTCTTATCTGCTATCATATTTGTTTATTACTTCATATTATTGTCACTAGTTCTTTGTTCTATCAGTCCTCTTGGCCCTCTAAACTACTTGCATATTTGGCACGACAACTCCGGCAAGGGTAACACAGCGTCATGGTATATGAACACCATGGTGGTACGAGACGTACAAACGGATGAAAAGTACATATTTATTAACAATAAGTGGTTTGCTGTGGAGGAAGGCGACGGAATGGTAAGACCCCCTGCTTTTTCAGACTACTTGATGGAAAGTCGATGTAATCTCTTATAAAGAAATTTCCTTTTGAAATGTTTTCTCACTAAACAACAGTTACGTTTCACTCGTAAGCTGAAAATATTTCGTAATGTCCTCTTTTCGAACATATTTGATTATTAGTTTGCAAATGAAATATAACATGTATGAACAAACCGAGATGAATCTATTTAACACCAGTGTCGTATTTGCTAATTTCTCATTTAGATTGATCGAATCATCGCCGTAGCCGGGAAGGAACAAATGACAGAGTTCGGGCACCTGTTCACTGAAAAGACTACAAAGAATCTCAATGATGGTCATTTGTGGTTTTCGGTGGTAGCTCGACCACCGCAGAGCCGTTTCACGCGTGTCCAGCGTGTATCCTGCTGTCTCTGTCTCCTTTATGTTACCATGCTGTCCAATGCCATGTTTTATGAAAACAGTGCTGCTGAATCTGGAAACTCATTTACGTTTGGTCCTTTCAGCCTATCGCCTACTCAAGTAAGTCACCTTCACTGTTGTCCAGAGTATTTTAAGTTATGTCCATCTTACCATATGATCTACGTTGAAAACGTTTAACTAATGTTTTATTCAATATATACTAAACTACATGATTTACCTTATCCTTATTCTCAATATTACAAAACAATGTCCTCCAAAGGATAATTTGCCGCGAAACATTTTATCTACGGTTTAAGTTTACCAACATACAACGTTTTGGCATTATATGGCATCTCCGCACATAGTTGCATTCAAGTGGGACTTTATATACAGATGATATGTTTAATGTCTTTTATTCCAGGTCTATATTGGTGTAGTCTGCAACCTGATCGTGTTTCCAGTTAATTTCCTGCTCGTGTACCTATTCCGACGTTCAAGGCCACGGAGCAAAAGGCCGTCAAGAGTAGAAGAAGCCATCAAAAATAGTTCGCAAACAACAGCATCAATGACAGATGTCAACCCCAGATTAAAGAGTGCCGCCAACACCTCGGGAGTAAGCTCATCCATGCTGATAGAGAGTGGGAAACGCCCAGATACGTCCATGACACGTGCTTATACGTCTTTATCTGTCGCTGATGTATCAAATAAAGGCAAGAAAAAGAAGAAAAAGATGGAGTTTCCTTGGTTCTTTACAATCATTGCTTGGATTATTTTATGGTTAACTGTCCTGGTTTCTGCCGCATTCGTCACTTTCTATGGTGTAATGTTCCAAGACGTTAAATGCAAGCAATGGATTACGTCCATGTTGATATCTTTCTTCGCCTCAGTTTTCATCACACAGCCTATCAAGGTAAGCCTAATTGGCACGCCAAACATGAAAAATAATCTTTTTCTTAGTCAAACCTCTTGGTCCCGGTCGGTCAAAGATAAGCAAGTGATTGGTGAAAAAAATCAAATTGTTGCTTACGCATCTATAAGGGCGTTAATATAAAAAAACAACACTCAAAACATAGCAATCTTGCCTCTCTTGACAAATCTACAGCTTTTAAATGTTAAGGAATGTTTGAAAATTTTTACATACAACTGATTATCTCCAACCAGCATTTGACCAACCAAGCCAGAGTACTTGTATAAATATAATTCCCTACCTGGAAGCATCTTAACTATAGGTATTTAAGTTTTGTTCACCTTGTTTCATGTGTCGAAATAACTTTATGATTTATATATCATTAAAACATTATCTATGTCATTTTATAATTTATCTTTATACATTATTTTCTATATACACTAAGTAGGCTATTGGATTACCCTAACTCATTCCTGTTTGTAATATTCATCACATTGTATGCAATTTTACAGGTGTTTGCTGTTGCTATACTCTTCTCACTCATCATCAAGAACCCCGGTGGAGACGAGGAGGAAGATGCTGAAGACGAAGAAAAACCGAAGAACCTTGCTAATGACGAAGAATATTTACACATGGACGATTTTGGTAAATTTTTCAGTGCTTAATATCTTACCGTAATATCTATGAGAGATGAGATTTGCACAAATTTCATCACACAAGCGTCATTAAACAGGATTTTTATCTTATATATAGATAATCCACTTGACTGTTAAATAAACTAGCAATACATAACGAAGTTTCAACAAAACCCCGGTTATTTTGGTACATATGTATGTACTATGTTCGCTTGGAACTCCACGTGCATGTGTTGGCGGGCGGGCGGTCAGTAGTAACCAAACGATTGTATACAATATGTTTTTTTTATCCCTCAACAACTGTAGTTTCAATTTATAACATAGCATAACACCATAAATGTCTTGGCCTGACTTGATATTGATAATTAGTAGAGGTTAAGTAACACTTCCATGTCGTTCATTCCTTTTTTGTTACAGGTACGGGAGTCACAAAACCGAAAAAGGCGTCATACGTACCTGCTGATAATCAACTTCTTGACAAGGCACGGGAAGTGCGCTTGAAAGAAATCAAGATGTGGGCGGTGATAAGGGAAATAATTTTTTATTCCTTTTTTGTTTGGATACTCATGGTTATTAGCTACCAAAACCGAAATACCGACTCGTACCTTTACAAGTTCAGCATGGAACAAGTCTTCATCATCACGAATGACACCAATCATAAGTTCGAAAAGGTACAAATTTTGAATTAAGATACGTAATTACTTTTCCATGCATTATGTCGAGACTATGTTTTATGGTTCCTGACTTTGTATTTTGTTTATGTTCCCTGTGTTTTATTTTCGCTGAAGTTTGTGTTACTCCCATTAAATGCATAGGTTATTCATTAAGAAGTCAGACATAAAAAGCGGTCACTTTACTTGGATTGACAACATCAAATGTTAGATATACATAATGAAGTTGATTTACAGATTATCTGCATACAAAGATGTAAAATGGTATAGTATTCATTTTAATTAAGATTAGCTTCCGTTTCGTCTCTGTGTTTTAGATTACAAATGTGCAGAACTTTTGGACATGGGCAAAGACTGGAATGGCTACTGGAATACGAGCTAACAAATGGTACAACGATGATCATCCTCTATTTCTAAGAGGATATATTAACGACAAAGTGTCCCGATTAATGGGCTACGCTACTATGAGACAGTTGCGCACCAAAAAAGGTATATCATGTACACCTGCATTTTAATATATTTATTATCATAAATATATGCTAGTTCATATCACTTGACTGGAGTGGTTGATGTTTGATAATGAAATCGTAAATGCAAAGCATATAATACACGACTAAGAGTCGATGCTGAATCGTATAATGAAGTCAGCCTCAGTAAATACTGGAAATTTTCTAGTTCTTAAAATATGTCCAGTATGATCATTAGTGTTAACACCAAACGGTTTCGGTTTCTTTCTTCCTGTTTTAATGTATACTACCTTACCTAAAGGCAGATTCTATTGGAACTTTCATTAATATTTTGATTCGTAATTATCTTAAAATGCATCTGACATACGATGTTTATAAAAGTTCCATTCTCTCACAGCACATGTTTTCAATTGTTACCTCGTGTCTTCTTTTTAGATACGTGTCGTATTGCCGACGACATAGCCAAAGTGATACCGGAATGCAATGGTGAATATACTATCATGGAACAAGATGAGGAAGAGTACCAAGTTGGCTGGAGGAAGATGTATGGCAACTCATCTGACGAAACAAGAGAAGAATACAGGTATACTTCAGCTGCGGAACTCGATGGTTTTCCATATTGGGGTCAGATGGCTATGTACGCTGGAGGTGGTTACCTGGTCAGGCTTAAGGGATCGTCACATTCAATCTCCAAGAAAATGGCACAATTAGAAAGCGAGGGATGGATCGACAAGTATACCAGGGCAATTTTTGTCGAATTTACAGTCTACAACCCTGGTGTGAATCTATTTTCTATATCAACATTACTTGCAGAATTCCGACCAAGTAATGGAATTTTTCCATCGTACCGATTCGAACCTGCCACACTCCTCCCTTACATGAACTCAGTTATGTTGTTCCAGCTTGCTTGTGAAGTCATATATCTCCTTTTCACTCTTTACTTTGTCATTCGTGAAACACGAGGTATCATACGAGAGAAAGCAAAATATTTCAAACAGTTTTGGAATTTGATAGAATTTGGAATTTGCGGGATGTCTGTCACCGCAGTTGTTTTGTACTTCTATCGCCTGATCATCACAAATAAGCTTACTGAACGATTTAAAGAAACCCATGGAAATGAGTACATGAAGTTCCAGTATGTAGGATATTGGAGTGAAATATTCAGCTATATCATAGGATGGCTGGTATTCTTTGGTACACTCAAGTTTTTGAAGTTATTGCGATTCAACAAGAAGATGTCTTTGCTGGCTTCCACCTTGAAAAATTCATGCAAAGATCTAATGCATTTTAGCATTATTTTTAACATTGTGTTCCTGGCATTTATTCAATTCTTCTATCTGATCTATGTGGCACATATCAGATCGTTCAGCACGTTCATCACAGCTTTGGAGTCCGGAATTGTCATGATGATGGGGAAATTTGAAATCTACAGCATGTTAAGAGTTAATCCTGTAATCACTCAGATCTCTCTGTTTCTGTATGTTGTGGCGATAACATTTATTGTTGTCAATATGTTCTTGTCAATCCTCAACGAGACATTCAGTGCTGTGCGTTCCGACATCGACAAGCAGAACAATGATTACGAAATTGTTCAGTTCATGCTCGAGCGGTTCAAGTTATGGACTGGGATCGGTACGGTTGACAAAAATACATTAAAGCCAGACGACGTCAGGAAAATCAAAGAGGAAAGCATGGCAGGCAAGATCGATGAATTCCCAGACCGTATCGACAGGCTCCTCAACTCGATTTCCAACGTGTACATGGAAAAGGACCGGATCGACTCAATATTTGAAATGAATGCAAGAGGTGGAAAGAGCTTGGGTCTTACAAAAGGAGCTCTAGCGAGAAGTTCCTATGCAAACAGGACACCGACTGGGATGACCACAGTCCATACTAACTGATAAAATGCAAAGAAGATGGAAACATAATTAGATACGTTGTACATACTCGTTTGAAGTAGTATATTTTAGAAATGTGAGTAGATAAAACTATTAACTGACAACGTTTAACCTTTCAAACTGCTTTTTTTCGATCGTGTTGCGGTAACCTTATTATTGATGTGAATTTTCGTAGCAATTCGAGTCCTAATATCTGATTATACGCTAGGAAATAAAACCACTATTAATAGCTGTGTTTCCCCATGGATGATTTCTTTCATATAACTTGTTATTTATGCATCTTTCTTGTAATCTAAGCAGTCTTTAGTTCTGGCACCTTGATCTATTGATTTTGAATATCCCCATTACTTGCAAATACGTCACTATATACCAATCCAGTCCGTTCACGTGGTTCCTAATATGGAACTATTATAGAATGAGTATGACTCATGTAAGCAGGGCTAGTGTGGTATTTGTTCCGTGAGGCATTCGTCATTTTTTATTAGACAGGATGGCGCGATATCAACTCAAACTCACAACATTACAGGAGTACATGATCGCAACTTAATCTCACGACATTACAGGATCACATAATCGCAACTTAATCTCAAGACATTATAGGATAACAATGCAGAATAATCACATTTCAAAAAAAAAAATCTAATGATCACAGTACTTTATAATGACATGAGGACCAAATTACACAAATACCAGACATTTTAAGATCACTTGATTGCAATAAACATTAACTACATTACAAGATCACAGCTCACCAATAACCAAACATCATTACGGGAAGGAATATTGCTGGAGGTTAACACTATTATGTTACAATTAAACATTACACGTGGTAACAACACTGGCATTGTGATTTAAATCATCAACACCACAAAAGAACAAAAAACAACAGATGGATTTCAAAATTGTACAAAATATCGTTAAAACATATTATTACTACTTTGAACATGCTTTATTGTATTTAATCAAAATTCCGTCCAATTATTACACGTAAAACTGCTGACAGTTCTATTGTAAACTTGGTCAAAATTTCTGATGCTCTCTATGAACTGCTGATGAAAAAGACACGTTATATGTACTTGTAGAATTTTAACGAAAGTTAAACGTATTTTTACATTTAAATTAAATAATTACAATACTGTGATAATTTACACACAAAGTTAATTTTGAGGCGATGTCATATATCAGAACGATGCAGCATTCCTATTTTACATGTGCTTATCTAGTATTATAAAACATTATTATCTACATTGGAATGACTAGGTACATGCATGTACAAGTTATTCAAAAGAAATATATGAAAAGTAAAACGTTTCATTACACGACCTCGAGTTAGATATACAAATTAGAACGATTTTACAAATGAATACATTGAATAAAATTGGTTCAACAAGGGATGCCTGGCTACTTACACAATGTATAATGAAACTATTACATTTAGAAAAAAGAATAAGGATTATACAGAAAGAGGACTTTTTATATACAAAATTCAACTGTTTTACTCCGAAAGAGATAGTCTATAAAACCAATATTTATATATCCAGAGCGAAATGTCCAGATCTTAGCGAAGTAAAGCAAGCTTTGTATTAATATTCGGTTGTTTATATTGTATTCCGTCTACAATTTAATGTCAGATCACTGGAATGGGATAGGGGTTATATATCATGTAATACAACGGTATCTAACTATAGTTGTAGCAAATACTGATGTATTCAAGTCATATATTGTAAAACGTTAATTATTGTGACCAGTTATTGATTCATTGTTCATGTTTTAATATTTTATGAATTTGATTGGAAATAAAGTGATTGGTTATGCCGTGTTCGGTTTAGTGTTGTACTTTTGCAGTAAACACTGAAAGGGGCCAACGTTTCTCTTTTAGCAATTTTAAGGTTGTTGATCACAAAGGAGATGCATAAAGTAATTTTAACAATGTGTTTTGGTTTCGTCCTGAATCTAGACTACATAATACAAGATAGTATTAAATACCGGATTTCTAGATAAAGGAATTATATATACCTAAACGTCAACAAACAGTTACACACCAAATGACTATATCCAATAACGTTTTTATCACAAAAAGACAATCTGTCCAACAACGTCTCATCACAAAAAGACAAAATATCCAACAACGTCTCATCACAAACAGACAAAATATCCACCAACGTCTCATCACAAACAGACAAAATATCCACCAACGTCTCATCACAAAAAGACAAAATATCCAACAACGTCTCATCACAAAAAGACAAAATATCCAACAAAGTCTCATCACAAACAGACAAAATATCCAACAACGTCTCATCACAAACAGACAAAATATCCACCAACGTCTCATCACAAACAGACAAAATATCCAACAACGTTTTATCACAAACAGACAAAATATCCAACAACGTCTCATCACAAAAACACAAAATATCCAACAACGTTTTATCACAAACAGACAAAATATCCAACAACGTTTTATCACAAACAGACAAAATATCCAACAACGTCTCATCACAAAAACACAAAATATCCAACAACGTTTTATCACAAACAGACAAAATATCCAACAACGTCTCATCACAAACAGACAAAATATCCAACAACGTCTCATCACAAAAACACAAAATATCCAACAACGTTTTATCACAAACAGACAAAATATCCAACAACGTTTTATCACAAACAGACAAAATATCCAACAACGTCTCATCACAAACAGACAAAATATCCAACAACGTCTCATCATAACAGACAAAATATCCAACAACGTTTTATCACAAACAGACAAAATATCCAACAACGTTTTATCACAAACAGACAAAATATCCAACAACGTCTCATCACAAACAGACAAAATATCCAACAACGTCTCATCACAAACAGAAAAAATATCCAACAACGTCTCATCACAAAAACACAAAATATCAGACAACGTCTCATCACAAACCGACAAAATATCCAACAACGTCTCATCACAAACAGACAAAATATCCAACAACGTCTCATCACAAACAGACAAAATATCCAACAACGTCTCATCACAAACAGACAAAATATCCAACAACGTTTTATCACAAACAGACAAAATATCCAACAACGTCTCATCACAAACAGACAAAATATCCAACAACGTCTCATCATAACAGACAAAATATCCAACAACGTTTTATCACAAACAGACAAAATATCCAACAACGTTTTATCACAAACAGACAAAATATCCAACAACGTCTCATCACAAACAGACAAAATATCCAACAACGTCTCATCATAACAGACAAAATATCCAACAACGTTTTATCACAAACAGACAAAATATCCAACAACGTCTCATCATAACAGACAAAATATCCAACAACGTCTCATCACTAACAGACAAAATATCCAACAACGTTTTATCACAAACAGACAAAATATCCAACAACGTCTCATCACAAACAGTCAAAATATCCAACAATGTCTCAACACATAAGTAGATTACATACTATAGCGCCTAGCACATGACAATCAATACCACGGCGTCTTCACACAATAAGACGACGCATTTCTCAACGTCTACACATTGGGAAACACACATTATACCGCATCATCAATAACTAATCAGGATAGATCCCAATGTCTGTTCTCAACAAACCATAGCGTCTGCACACTGAGAAAGAATGTACGACAAATGAAATACGAAGACGAATTATACCTTTGTGTCTACAGACAAGGAAATATTCGAAATAGCGTTAAATATAAATTAATTTGTAAATATTATCTAGCACAACTTTCTAGTTTCTCCTAAAGGAGGATTAGTGTTTGATGGTCTAGATCTTCACTGATGTGTGATTATATGCCCACAGGTTTCATAGAAAAGCATTCCCGTATTTTTTCACAAGTTAACTATCAAAACAAAAAGGTTCTCATCCCTGTATTTTATCCAAGAAGGATGTGCTCTTTATACACGTACAAATAGTATGTAAATTGTTTGGTCCTGGTGTTGAATAAACAAAAATAAGACTCCAGACAATAAGAAAATCAAATTTAATACAGAGCATATTACATCAATAGTTACCGAGGTCAAATCAGGCATTACAACCCGTTTTCAACGTTTCGAAATATACAATATGAAAACAATTAACGTGCCTAATTATGAAGGTTACAGAAAATCTAATGTAATTGCATGCTGTCTCCATATGACCAGTTTTTGTTGAAACGTAATAAACAGCCTGCTTTATTGGAAGACTACATTATTTCACTCAACGGCCAGATCTCTTCATTCAAATGCAATCTTATTTCACTGACGTCGAGATCATTGAACGAAAGGCAATGGTGCTACACATGACAGCCAGATCTTTCATCTAAGGGGCCAATTCTTTCAAATGAAAGTCTGAAGTGTTGCAAAGAGCATCTAGTCCGTAGAACCACGTGACAATCAAAATGTTGAAAAACGGAAGAAAAACAAAAACAAAAAACACAACGTTCCGCTAAAGGAGTCTTGTGTTTTGTTTGAAAGGGATATTGACGACATTCAGGTTAATCGATTTCACTGCCTGTCAAAAATTTTAAAGTAAGTAGCTTTTTTCGTTTGAAAGAAGTTCATGCTAAATATTTTAATGGTTCTGACTTACAACATAATAGCTGGTTCAAATACAAGAATCACACGCGGAATTTTATGGACCAATTAAAAAATGATAAAATAATGTATGTATGAACTTAAAACAGGTCAATTAGAAAACTCGATGAGTGCCGAGCTACTGTATCAGATCAACAATTAACTTTTGAAATCTATTCTAGTAACTCCTATTGTTCCAACAGTCGCCATGTAGATCTTAGATGTATTTTGCTTACATGGTAACTCGAGCTCACAGCGACTAAGTGCGAACTGGTACCAAAACATTACTAGTTATCTCTCATCATTCCTTCAATCAATTTCTGTATAAAAAGATATTTTTGTGATGAGTTTTTGAAATCGTCCGTTTTTATACTTACTGAAATTACTTCAGATAATATTATGATAATAGATAGCTATTTTTTGTTATGATTCACTCTCATGATATATACAATAAAAATTTGATAGAAATTATATAAAGATATAAAGTATGAAAGAAACATATTACGATCTTTGGTTTTTTTATATATATATATATATTGACACCGATAACATTACGACAATCTTCAAACGTTAAGAGTAATAGGGAAGTCTTTACCCGTTGAACTTGAATGTCCCATATAAGATTTATATTACAACGAATACCAATTACTTCAAAGAAGTATCAACCTGAGTCTTACATACGGAAAGGAAAGTTATCGTCATTTACGCAAAAGAGAAACTGAAAGTAGCGAAGACTTATCAAAGCCAGGAGCTGCAAAATGTGGGGACCGTATGAAGGAAATAATGTCTATAAAAAAATCATTAAAAACACATAGAATTCATTCATAGTGTTTTTTCATATCAATTATAACAAAAATTACGGAAAACGTAATAGTTATTATTGACAAAGATCTTTTTCAATGATTGCAACCGCAAAATACTACTTATGAAAATATCATCATTGATGTTTTTGTTATATACTGCTGACGTTATCGATGAAAATTTCTTTTAGAAAAAATGCTGATTTTAAGCGGCATGGGAACAAAGGCAAGAAACCACAAGGGTACGGCAGGTACTAGAGTCACATAATTTAACATTCTGAAGAACAAATATAATATTGGTGCCAACTGATTAATAATGAATGTTAGGTATATAACTGAATGTTTACAAAATATTACATTACATATATCAAAAATGAAGGCATACAAATGTAAAAACATTGTCTAAAATATATATAAAGAGTAGAAACATTTACTATAAACTAAACGACTTGATCTTTGGTACATATCAATGTGTGTGTGTGTGTGTGTGTGTGTGTGTGTGTGTGTGTGTGTGTGTGTGTGCCTTACAAAAACAAACCCAATCATTTCTTTATAGATCACTAATTTAATGCTGCCTTGCAATCTGCCATTATTGTGTTGCATATTTTGTTATCAGCCATGGAATTGTGAACAAGCAGCGTGCATGATAGATTTACATTATCGATAAGAAGCTTTATGGTTTGATTTTGGTCACAACCTATTTTGAAAATCACAATAAAAGGGACATTACTCTATTTTACAGTGAGAAATTGTTTCTTTGGTTTCTGAATTCTGAACACATTGTGTAAAAGTAAGATAACGAATTAATAATTGAAGAATAATAAACTTAATCATGATATAATTTTATGAGAATTTCGGAGCACATTTCATATCGCGTTAAGAGCAAGTTACTCTGCTTTATCAGCTATAAGATGAAATACCGAACCCATTTAATGACTAAATGAAGGACTGATAGAAATAGACACACCTGATTAACAGCCAGCTGTTCGATATACGTTTCAACACTTTCTGAAAAGTCATCGTTGCGTCAAGAATTTATCATCAATTTACAAAGGGTCTTTACCAATTATTGACAAATGTATATCGAAATATATAGCTTATTCAATTTTTTTGCCATTTATGGTATTGCATATATTTAAATAGGTCAAAGTTTAAAGTTACATCTCAGCATGTTTTATACGTATTTTAGAATAAAGATTTGATTTATAATGTTTCTCATACAATAAGATACATACTAATACCAGCAATAGAACATGGTTTCAACATACAAATACAAATGTATTACATTGTTTAAAAAATAAGTATAAAATGTCAATAAATGACAGTATATAATGATGGAAATAGTATTAAGTATAACCGCTAAGTATCTATCCATAATAAATTAACTTCTGACAAACATATCTATATAACCTATTACAGTGTCTTTTCTGTTAAACGAGACCTTACTATGGTTCATTTCCGAGCAATGTTCAAGTTTACAGTGATTTATCTTAATTTTATTGTATAATAATCTGTTTTGTCAACCAATACCTGAAGACATGGATACCGTGTCAAGACAAGAAATTCATGTAAAGTTCAGCAATGTCATAATCTGCATCGGGTTAGGATTTCCTTGTTTTGCCCAATTAGGTGAACGATACTTTTCACCCAAACCCTATTAACTTTTATCATGTTTACATAATTTTCCACATTGCATTACTGTATCATAATATAATGTTAACTAAACGCTTATGATGTACGGTTAAGTGAAGGATCATCTGTCACAGAAGGAGAACCTGCTTAGAACTTTTGATTCAAATATAATAAAGATAAATACAAAATGTACAGCTGTATATAGTACGTCTCCTCAATGTTTTTGGTCGTACGTGCCCTTGTCCTTGAATGCCTGGACGTATCCATCTTTTGGGGTAGTATCCACACGTCCATCCTTTCCCTTCCCTTTACCGCTGTCATCAAACCGTTCCTTGTGTGTCCCGGTGTATGCCGCACTGTCTGTGAAATGGCTGACGTTTCCAGTCTTTGATTCTTTCTAAATACAAAGTAAGACAGATTAATTACATAAAATATATGTTTATCAGAAACATGAGTCCGGTAAAAAAAAAAAAGAGTCTGTTATTGCGATTTTTTAGGAATCTCTTTCTTAATTCATTCGGAATATTTGGTGATTGTTCCAGATAAATATAAAGTTGAGCAGTGATTTTTTGCTTGAGATCTTGGCGCCCACCATTTTGTGATCTTTATTTGTTATTTAAAAGTTCTTATCTGTTCTTGCCTATGTTTTTGTTCTAAATCATGTGAAATGTGAAAAAAAAATCAACCGAAAAGGTTGTTGAAAACCTGTAGCGAAAAGGCTGATATCATTTCTACCATTTCTAGTTTTTTTTCACAATTTATTGGGCCTTAAAATGTACAACACACCTGCAGTGTAATAACATGTGCAGTTAAATTTGAGAATCCGTCAATGAGGGTTTATCTCCCTTGCAATAACCACAGTCAAGACTAGTATCAGGATCACAGGGGTGAATGATAAAGAGATCTTAACAAATAACATAGAGTGGGTAGGAAGAAATTATTAGATATCTGTATACTTAAGTACTGATTACTCGATATATCGGTCAGGTGATTCCGAGCGTTTAGGCTTATCGGTCTCTAGTCTCCTTTTCGACCCCTTGGATTTGATCCTTGAATTCGTCTATAACAGTGTATACTGAACAAAAAAAGAAAGGTAACACTACTTTATTCTGTGATTAATTTATTAACCCCTTCATAAATCCTTACCAATCATGTACAAATAAAGTAATTGATCAATTCTGATAAAACTGCAGTCATGGTTCATTATAAAACTTTGCGTTCAGTTGATTTTATTTGACTGTAGAGGACGTTGGGGTCAATTTCAAAGGTAACACTATTAGTAACGGGTATGGCCACCGTTTGCGAAGTAAACAGCATTGCAGCGTCGTCGCATGGAACTCGTAAACCGGCGGATAATTCGAGGAGAGATGTTGTTCCATTCAGCGATCAAGGCTTGGGCCAGCTCCTGCAAGTTTGACGGCTGATTTTGACGTTCTCTAACGCGTCGCCCAAGAACGTCCCAGACATGCTCAATCGGTGACAAATCAGGTGATTTAGATGGCCAATCTAACATCTGTGCGTTATTCTGCTGCAAGAAAGTTCTGTTGACGCAACTGGTGTGCGCTGGTGCGTTATCCTGTTGAAAAATGGCGCCAACGCCATGGCGTCTTAAGAATGGCAGAACCACTGGTCTTAAAATTTCGTCCCGATATCGAATGCCGGTTAAATTGTCATTTAACACAACAAGCCTGGTACGAGTCCCCCCACAAATACCACCCCAAACCATTACACTTCCGCCGCCAAAGCGGTCCCGTTCTGCGAAGCAGCAGTTCGCATAACGCTCCCCTCGTCGCCTCCACACTCTGCGCCTTCCGTCACCGTGTTGCAGACAAAACCTGGACTCATCTGAAAACAGAATTTTGTTCCATTGTCGTAAGGCCCAACGATGGTGAACACGGGTCCAGTTACGCCGATTATTACGGTGACGTCGCAACAAATTGGGTCCAGTGTAGGGACGCCGCGCTTTCAATTGGTAGGCCCTCAACCTGTTGCGGACTGTTTGGGGAGACACACGACGCCCAAACAATGTCCTTGTAGTCTCTACTGCGGTTACGAATCGATTGCGCAAGTGTATCAATTCTCAACAAATGTATATTACTTACATAGTGGGAATCTCAACTGTTTCTATGCGACCACGAAGTCAATCATTAAGTCACGAGTGTGTGTTTGTCTCTTGTCTCCCAACAATGTTCATGTGGTTGAAGAGTGGGGATTTCCATTGTTTCCACGAGTTGACCTCCAGGCTTAGACCCCGAGAACTAAGGATGGTCCCTTGTTTCAGACTGTAGGAGCCATGGAGGAACCTTGGATCAATTCTGGACGCATGTCTTCTATTTATATTAGAATAGTTTTACGATTGAACGTTCCATCATATTTCTACCGGGCTGTACAGACATTAGCAACGGGTGATGAAAAATAGGTTTCATTTAGGTTCCATTCCGGGTCCATTTTCAATGCGGGTCTATTTTCAACTTGACACCGGACCACGGATAAAAGACGACTTAAACACTATTACATCTTAAAGTAGTAAGCCAAAAATCATCACTGAACAAAATTGATTTATCCGTTTTGTTATTGTATGATGGAAAGCAAAACGACCTTGAACTATGTATGTAATTACCGTAACTCCTTCCATTGTCGGTGGAGCCAGGAGGGTTATTAGTTCCATTTCCCACGATGATTCCTTCGGTTCTTTTCCCAGAGATCTCATCTTTGTGGCACAACGTCTTATGAAATCTTTAATTTTCTCGTCGTTTATCAGCATGAATCTAAGCAAAAATATAACGAGAAGATCCAACACTACGAAATAAATCATGACAAAATATGTCTCTCATAATATTAGATTAGATAATAGAAGATTAATTTCTGGAAAACCAGGATCAGGTTGTATCTTTCTATTATCATTGTATTAATTTGGGAACGGGATCATTTCCTCGGTATTTTATCGTCATCACTGTATAGAGCGTAACCATGCAGCACTTGGATAAAGTCAGCAACTTCGACACATATTTAGATGAATAGATTGAGATAATTGATCAATTACCTCTGTGCAATGTGGACAGATTCTCTTAACTCTCGGGTTTATATTTCTAAATTTTATCACTCGATAATGTCTTGTGATAAGTGCAAAAAAGCACCCGAGATATCATTGATCATAACATACACGGGAAGGAAATTCCATAAGCCATTAATGTATTATTCTAGTCAGTGTTGTCGATAGCTGACACAACTATTGTCACGTTATATAGCTACTAGCAACATCTTAAATGTTAAAATCACGTTAGTTTTTTACATTACCAAAGCCAGATGTGTATTACTAGCTAATGATCTGAAATCAGCGCTGAAGTTGTCTTCAATTTAAGAGGAATTGAGAATGATAAAGATAAGCATTGAACGCCAATGATAGGATGCCTACTGAAACGAGGTAATTTCAACATGGTCAACGTGCATGATTGTATTTACCCTTATCTTTTTGGCATCCATATACCCATGAATGCCAAATGAAAGCAGTTCAATGCTTGAATTATGTTTCCTGGTTTTATGTTTAAGATTACAATGGAACTTCAACATCACTTTGTAACATCCCTATGTTAAAACTGTGACTTTTCAAAACGTTATACATCTACCAAAATTAGCCCATGTAATTCGTCTATCTATTTCCACGTAATCCCTTGAACAAGCAAACATTCAATATCAACACCATGACAAAAGTACTGAAGTATGAATGAAATGTAAAACATACGGTTTTCCTTGTTCTTTGCATGCTGGGAAAGCAACTGTGTCGGTATATAGACAAAGCTCCTTCGGCCAGCATTTCTTGGTCAGCTTCCCGAGGGCTTTGGAGTTGATTTGGTCTGGACTGGCTGACTTACTGGATATTTTCATGTAACTTCTGAAAATTTCTCTGACTTTTTTAATCTCAGCTTTACTCAGTTCAACATCGCTGGAAGACATTGTCGTATTGATGTTGTTAAGTCCCGTACCAGAGTTCGACTGTAAGACAACATGGACAGCATTACGTTTTATATAGACTTGGGCTATAAATCTTTAATAAGCAAATGGACACAAGTTATTTTAGTTAACATATGTTAGTTAATTCATTGAAAGAGTTGATGACAATATTCATATCCTGAATCACTGAAAAGTAATGATAGCATTCAACATCTGCTTACTAAATCTGTTATTGATAAGAACTAGCAGCAGAAGTACAGCTATCTAGTTGTGAACCATACTGGGGCGTATTTCGTCAAAAAAACGTCAAAGACAAGAAGAAATAGTATAACTTGCTTATTTTGCAAACTGGCATCAATTCAAAATAAATTTAACCGACATATATTTTCGTTATTCATATCCGTAAATGCAATATGTGCTATGCAATCTTATGGCAAAAACGTTGTATTGTATACTGAAAATGCATGTTTTGAAAAAGTATTTGGTTGGGTGGTAAGATCTTCCGACAGACGATACACATGGTAACAATCTGTGTCCTCTTTAATAAACTATTTTGGGTTGTTTTTGTTTTTATACGAGGGAGTTTTTTTTCTCTGTTAATGCCTAGTATACAGCATGGCCACGTGTTGCTTTTATAGCAGCCCTCAGAACACCGTATATCATCGATTTGTATTTCAAGGCGATCCGCATTGTTTACCTTTTTTGTTTCAATATCCACAAAAAGTCTTTCTCAATTGATAATTAACTACTGAATATTACCCTGTAACTACTGAATGTTACCCTGTAACCACTGAATGTTACCCTGTAACCACTGAATGTTACCCTGTAACCACTGAATGTTACCCTGTAACCACTGAATATTACCCTGTAACCATGGAATATTAACCACTGAATATTACCCTGTAACCATGGAATATTACCCTGTAACCACTGAATGTTACCCTCTAACCCCTGAATATTAACCACTGAATATTACCCTGTAACCATGGAATGTTACCCTGTCACCACTGAATGTTACCCTGTAACCACTGAATGTTACCCTGTAACTACTGAATGTTACCCTGTAACCACTGAATGTTACCCTGTAACTACTGAATATTACCCTGTAACCACTGAATGTTACCCTGAGTGTTACCCTGTAACTACTGAATGTTACTTTGTAACTACTGAATGTTACCCTGTAACCACTGAATGTTACCCTGTAACTACTGAATGTTACCCTGTAACCACTGAATGTTACCCTGTAACTACTGAATGTTACCCTGTAACCACTGAATGTTACCCTGTAACTACTGAATATTACCCTGTAACCACTGAATGTTACCCTGAATGTTACCCTGTAACTACTGAATGTTACTTTGTAACCACTGAATGTTACCCTGTAACCACTGAATGTTACCCTGTAACCACTGAATATTACCCTGTAACCATGGAATATTAACCACTGAATATTACCCTGTAACCATGGAATATTACCCTGTAACCACTGAATGTTACCCTCTAACCCCTGAATATTAACCACTGAATATTACCCTACAACCATGGAATGTTACCCTGTCACCACTGAATGTTACCCTGTAACCATGGAATATTACCCTGTAACCATGGCATATTAACCACTGAATATTACCCTGTAACCATGGAATATTACCCTGTAACCACTGAATGTTACCCTCTAACCGATGAATATTAACCACTGAATATTACCCTGTAAATATTACCCTGTAACCATGGAATATTACCCTGTAACCATGGAATGTTACCCTGTAACAACAGAATGTTTCCCTGTAACCACTGAATGTTACCCTGTAACCACTGAATGTTACCATGTAACTACTGAAGTTACCCTGTCACTACTGAATGTTACCCTGTTACCACTGAATGTTACCCTGTAACTACTGATGTTACCCTGTTACCACTGAATGTTACCCTGTCACTACTGAATGTTACCCTGTTACCACTGAATTTAACCTGTAACTACTGAATGTTACTCTGTAACTACTGATTGTTACCCTGTAACCACTGAATGTTACCCTGTAACCGCTTAATGTTACCCTGTAACCACTAAATGATACCTTGTTAACACTAAATGTTTACCCTGTAATCACTAAATGTTACCCTGTAACCACTGATTGTTACCCTGTCACTACTGAATATTACCCTGTAACCACTGAATGTTACCATGTCACTACTGAATGTTACCCTGTAACCACTAAATGTTACCCTATAACCTCTGACTGATACTCTGTAACCACTGAATGTTACCCTGTTAATATGGAATGTTACCGTGTAACCACTAAATGTTACCCTGTAACCACTGAATGTTACCCTGTAACCGCTTAATGTTACCCTTTTAACACTAAATGTTTCCCTGTGACCACTAAATGTTACCCTGTAACTACTGAATGTTACCCTGTAACCACTGATTGTTACCCTGTCACTACTGAATGTTTTCCTGTAACCACTGAATGTTACTCTGTAACTATTGAATTTTACCCTTAACTATTGAATGTTACCCTGTAACTACTAAATGTTACCCTGTCACTACTGAATGTTACCCTGTAACCACTGAATGTTACCCTGTTATCACGGAATGTTACCCTGTAACCACTGAAAATACCCTGTCACTACTTACTGTTACCCTATAACCACTGAATGTTACCCTGTAACTACTGAATGTTACCCTGTGACCACTGAATGTTACCCTGTAACTACTGAATGTTACCCTGTGACCACGGAATGTTATACAGTAACTGGTTGATAATAAATAATGTGATGATTCATAGAGTATTGTGTTTACTGTAGTGCATTATGTGTATACGAAGGGAAATTATAAAACGTTTTTTATACAAAATTCTGAATGCCGTATATCGGTATGTGCTTCCTCATGTTACACATCACATAGCTTGTTTATACACATATTCTGAGCTATGGCCAATTCAAATTAGCACTGCTCAGGTCACATCACTGTGTGAGGGTATACTCGGAGTATGTAAACGTCCGTCCTTTGATTAGTGTGGTAAATATAAACATGTGTATCTGTTGGATGAGAAAAGCAACAGGAGTGCTTGACTAAAACCTGTAAATATAATTTTAGAATTCCGAGTGAGCCGCTGTGATAAGGAAGATGGGAGGTGAAGGTCTACATCGCTATGGTATCGATCCGGTGCGAGTTCTAAATAGGGCTCTGACTGTTTTCTGAGGCTGAATGGCAACAGTGTCGAGGCTCATGTATTTATACTAGCAGTGTTGGCAAATATTATTTACACTATATAGGTTCAAATACTATTTTCAAGGATTTTGCAATGAGGTAATTTGAAATACCGGATATATTTTGTCAAATGTTTACATCTAGCTTGTATGAAGTAGGCACCACAGCTTCCCTGTCACCATTTCGTCTCTTACTAACGTATGCTAAATATCAGTACAATACAGCAGTTACCGTTTCGACATATAATTGATAATTGAAAAGTTTGAGTTTAAACATGAAAACTTGATTAATTACCTACCTTGCAACCTGAACAATAACAACAACTTGACGATCTGCTTATGATCCGTTCCTCTGCGTTTGTAAGAAAAGCTATATTTAGCTACAGCAGGCGGTCATGTGACATCCAGCATCCGTTCAGATTCATTATGCTTCAAAATGATATGTGATGTGGTGTACTATATATAAAGCACACAATACAGAACTTTATATTGAATGTGTCTGACTTCTCGTCTTGTGGTTTATCACCGTGCAGGTTAATATTATAAGCATTTAATTATTATTATTTTTTTTTATTGTAATTGTAATATAATATAATTGGAATATTGGTATACCAATTCGTCTCTGAAGTTCAACTTGCTAAACAGAGGAGTCACCTGACAATTAACTTGCCTTTGTATATATAGTTTCGTGGAAAGCGTTCTTAGGAGTAAGGATAATACACAAAAATATTATTCGGAAAACATCATGATATGTTCCGTATAAAAACAACACAGATATATTCTGGATTAGCATAGCGCAAACATGAAAATATTCGTTCAAAGAACGAAATCTGTCCCCAGGATTTTAAATTTTGATTATAGTTAAAGTTTACCACATCCAGAGAACATTTTTATTTCTTTGATAAAAAAATAACGTTTGTGGAATAAAAGGATCTCTTTCACTCTTGTCTTTCAAAACCGACCAAACAAAGAAAGCCGTTCTCAAAGTAGAGACAAAATCAGCGAAGGTCTTTGCGCTTCTAAGGCCTGCACATTTACAATGCACGTAGCAATTTGCTGTCAGCCTGTCGTTGCTGAGGGATACGGTCGTTTGTCGCTGTTGACCTATTGGAAGGTCGCGTCTATCATTGCTAATTGAACTATGGCTACTGTTATTGTTGAATGCTCTCCCTTGGGTAAATAGTTTTGCTTTCAGAAATGAAGCCGGTTTAACCCAAAAGCTGGATCATTTCTTACATCAGATGAAACAATGAGACTAAAAAATATCAAAGGAAATATATTGGTGTTGACTACTGCTTCACATCATCATTAATTTCTGATTGTTTATCATGATAAAATTTAGATGGCAATTCTCAATGAAAGAATGAGAGCTTATCACCGATACAGTAGCCTGAATGTATGTTTTAATCGGAATTATCTATAATCTAAGCAAGGAGACGACAGATGATGAGAGACATATCGGTTTAGGAGGCTCTGTTCCCTAGTTGGTAGCTAGAACGAGGCTTCGCTGTGTCCCAACACCTAATCTGGAAACCATGAATATTTCTGTCGGTCATGACAAAAACTTGAACACATTTTCTCTTACAAATGACATCATTTCAAGATAATAATCCGAAAACTGTGTACTTAGTGAATGTCGACAAGAATCCTTTCGTAGTTTTCTTTCTAAGGCTAAGAGGTTTATTTCTCAGAAAGGTAGCATAAAATGTTTAACTTCAAAATTTGAAAATGAGACACTTTTAAATTGGATCCGCTGCATATCTATTGTTGTGAATATGTAGTAAACCCTAATGTATACGTTTCATATTTTCTGTGTCCTAATCTGTTTAAATTTTCTCGTTAGGAATAAGATTGAGAAATCGATCCAGTATTCAAATTAGTGAGGAGACTGTAGGTGTACTATCTCATCAGTAAATAGACTGTAGGTGTACTACCTTATAAGTAAGTAGACTGTACGTGTACTACCTTATAAGTAAGTAGACTGTACTTGTACTACCTTATAAGTAAGTAGACTGTACGTGTACTACCTTATAAGTAAGTAGACTGTACGTGTACTACCTAATAGGTAAGTAGACTGTACGTGTACTACCTTATCAGTAAGTAGACTGTACGTGTACTACCTTGTAAGTAAGTAGACTGTACGTGTACTACCTTATCAGTAAGTAGACTATACGTGTACTACCTTATAAGTAAGTAGACTGTACGTGTGCTACCTTATCAGTAAGTAGACTGTACGTGTGCTACCTTATAAGTAAGTAGACTGTACGTGTGCTACCTTATAAGTAAGTAGACTGTACGTGTACTACCTTATCAGTAAGTAGACTGTACGTGTACTACCTTATCAGTAAGTAGACTGTACGTGTACTACCTTATAAGTAAGTAGACTGTACGTGTACTACCTAATAGGTAAGTAGACTGTACGTGTACTACCTTATCAGTAAGTAGACTGTACGTGTACTACCTTGTAAGTAAGTAGACTGTACGTGTACTACCTTATCAGTAAGTAGACTATACGTGTACTACCTTATAAGTAAGTAGACACTGTACGTGTGCTACCTTATCAGTAAGTAGACTGTACGTGTGCTACCTTATAAGTAAGTAGACTGTACGTGTGCTACCTTATAAGTAAGTAGACTGTACGTGTACTACCTTATCAGTAAGTAGACTGTACGTGTACTACCTTATCAGTAAGTAGAAGCTTATAAGTAAGTAGACTGTACGTGTACTACCTTATCAGTAAGTAGACTGTACGTGTACTACCTAATAGGTAAGTAGACTGTACGTGTACTACCTTATCAGTAAGTAGACTGTACGTGTACTACCTTATCAGTAAGTAGACTGTACGTGTGCTACCTTATAAGTAAGTAGACTGTACGTGTACTACCTTATAAGTAAGTAGACTGTACGTGTACCACCTTATAAGTACGTAGACTGTACGTGTACTACCTTATCAGAAAGCAAACGGTACGTGTACTACCTTATCAGTAAGTAGACTGTACGTGTACTACCTTATTAGTAAGCAGACTGTACGTGTACTACCTTATAAGTAAGTAGACTGTACGTGTACTACCTTATCAGTAAGTAGACTGTACGTGTACTACCTAATAGGTAAGTAGACTGTACGTGTACTACCTTATCAGTAAGTAGACTGTACGTGTACTACCTTATAAGTAAGTAGACTGTACGTGTACTACCTTATCAGTAAGTAGACTGTACGTGTGCTACCTTATAAGTAAGTAGACTGTACGTGTACTACCTAATAGGTAAGTAGACTGTACGTGTACTACCTTATCAGTAAGTAGACTGTACGTGTACTACCTTATACGTAAGTAGACTGTACGTGTACTACCTTATCAGTAAGTAGACTGTACGTGTACTACCTTATAAGTAAGTAGACTGTACGTGTACTACCTTATCAGTAAGTAGACTGTACGTGTACTACCTAATAGGTAAGTAGACTGTACGTGTACTACCTTATAAGTAAGTAGACTGTACGTGTACTACCTTATAAGTAAGTAGACTGTACGTGTACTACCTTATCAGTAAGTAGACGTGTGCTACCGTGTACTACCTTATAAGTAAGCAGACTGTAGAGTAAGTAGACTGTACGTGTACTACCTTATCAGTAAGTAGACTTATAAGTAAGTAGACTGTACGTGTACTACCTTATAAGTAAGTAGACTGTACGTGTACTATCTTATAAGTAAGCAGACTGTACGTGTACTACCTTATTAGTAAGTAGACTGTACGTGTACTACCTTATTAGTAAGTAGACTGTACGTGTGCTACCTTACTAGTTGCTAGACGATATATCTTCATTTGTGAGTAGAATATTCGGTCGTAGATATGTCAACAGAACAATAATCATTTAAGCTGGCGGGCGGAAATAAAAGCAATGAAAATGAGATAGAGATAATTTGATAATTTTCACATATCCGTAGACGTATTATAAAGAAGATATTATCACTAAGATATCCATTTGTTGTGATAGCTGATAGATGATATATTTAGATAAAGATTAGTTAACTTACATAATGATTTCTTCCATTGTTGACTTTTGTAAATTAAATTAATTTTAAGGATCTACAAGAACGAGAAAACTTTGGATAAATGATCTTTATTCGACACACATAAGAAATAATAGGTACACCATCGATAGAATTAATATTGAGACATACATCCTCAGACTTACAGGCTAACCTGGTAACAAAGTATCACAATTTGGACGGAAACACAACATAATAGATATATGATCAATGACGGGTTGGAAATATAAGTTTAAACGAATCATCTAAACGGAGTCAAATATGTGTACAAGCTTGATCAGATGAAAGTTTACATCAGCAGGTTATGTGCTTAAAAAGGCACATTTTCTTTGCCGATATGATGTTGATAATTTGTAATGATAAATTCTCCTATTAATTTAGTCAATGCTTATTTGACAAAACCCAGCACATATTTTCGCTGCAAAATAAATAAAAAATAAAAATGCTGACTACAGCCTTATGTTGCTGCTTGTCAAACTTGGTGATAGGCAGTGGGTACAGACAAAAATATGTATACGTACACCTTTCTTAATGAAAACTTCTTTTCGGCATTTGCAAGTATCTCCTACAGTCCTGTCTCGGTTGCTTAATACTCTGTCACACACTAAGGTGTACAGCAGAGGTAAGATCAAACTTATATTTTATTTTTTCATTTTACTGTCATAGGTTCCTGCCTCTTTGTAAGCTCCGACGTATCCTGAGTTATCTACAACATCCACGCGGCCGGCTGCACCTTTGCCCTTTCCTTCCGCGTCGAACCTTTCCTTATGTGATCCAGTATATTTGCTGGCGTCTGTCATGCCTTTTACATTTCCAGTTGCGGACTGTTTCTGTGGGTGAAAATCAAAACAATTTCTTTTTACTTGAAAAATTTTGAAAATAGTTCTTCTGCCAGCTGACATAACTCCTCCCCCTTCTCTCTCTCTCTCTCTCTCTCTCTCTCTCTCTCTCTCTCTCTCTCTCTCTCTCTCTCTCTCTCTCTCTCTCTGTGCAAGTAAATAGCAATTAGGAAAATGTGAAATCTAATGTGGGAACAAAAGTTACCCGAATACGATAAAACGAGTGCTAAATATTATAACAATTATTACAAAAATTGTGTATTTGTGTTGTATATGTATTTCTGTTTCTTTTGAAATACATCATGGTTTTTCAATAAACCATCAGAGAGATAAGTGACGAAATAATGTTACTCGCTATGTGAGTTTGGAGGATATAGAAATTTACCGTCTCAGTTCCCTTCAAATTTCTACATTCTCGCTTAAAAATTATCTATACCTCTATATGTACAGCGTTACAAATGACGGGTCGTATTTAGGACTTACCGTGGTCCCAGTCATTTTCACATCTTTTAGATTTTTCAGCAATTCTTGTTTCCATGTGCTTCCCTCTGGTGGTTTCTTCCCTTTTTTCTTGGCTTCTAACTTTTCACAGGCTACATCAAGAAATCGCTCCGAATGTGTATTGTCTATAGTCATAAATCTGAATGTATGATAAAGATCAAAATGTCTTAAAGTTCAAGGTCACAATATTCCAAAATAGTAAAAATAATAAGCACATGAAATCTGTTGAATTATGGGTAACGTGAATTACTTCATCCAGATTATGACATCAATCTTTTTTTATTTGCCACAGTCGTACCTTATGTTTCAAAACTAAGCCCTAAGCATTAATAATGAGTCCTACATGGACGAAACAGCTGTATGTTGCAGTTTAATTCAATAGGTGGCAATAATGTATATAATTCTTAATACGCATTGAAAAGTATTATTCACTTGTAGGTCTTTCTTGAATTAGAATTTCCGTTCACCTGAACAGACGCCTAAATAAATGATTAACGTCACTTTAAGATACGTATCCTGGAGGAGTGATCTGCCCTTTAAACAAGGTACAGCGTCCAATCTTCAGCATGTATAATATTACATTCGTGCGACTTGTGTGTTAATCACCAATAACGCTCTCACAAATATAACAACTGACAAGTAGTGAAATTATTTCAACAATTATAATAAATCTTCAATCACCTCTAAGTGTTGTAAAAAAGTAAGTATATATATCTACATACTAAGAGAATAGAGGGACACGTTCACTGGCACGTGCAGATATGGTATATATCTCTTTCACCACTTTGGTTAGCTAGTTATGCCGATATCGCCTTGGGCTAAATACAGAAAATGTGTATCCACTTTGTATTGCTTCTGATTTGACATATAGAATGATGTGCATGTTGTGAATGTTAAGATTTCTTTTAAATAGATAACATAAATTTTGTATACAAAACGCTTGGTAATAAAATTGATAGGAAAAAATAATGTAACGTCAACTGATGGCGTGTGCCACCCGAGATTACCAAAGGAATTAAAACTAATCATTACGACGGAAAATCTACCTTTCCCAAAATAAGATGAGTATTATATTTCGCTCTCACCCTTTTGGGGTGAAATATGATCAAAGCTAAAGGAATGTATTCATAGGCTATTACTATTCAAATGGCAATCAACCCTTAATTCCCTTTTCCCAGTTTAACTGACCATGTGAGTTGAGACAACTTTATTTCTATTTCAGTGATGATTCATAATATAGAAGTAGAAATGTTTGTTACGGACTACTTCATTAACCCGTATCCGCCAAACGTTCCCACCACATGGACATGATAAAATATTTTTAAAACTTACGGTTTTCCCTTGTCTTTACACACAGGAAAAATGGAACTATCCATTTCCGTTTTCAATTCGCACCATAGTGGGTTATCTTTTGTTATTTTCCCACAAGCTTGAGAAGTCATGTTGTCCTTGTGACCCAGTTTAGCATATTTCGTCAACTTGTCACACAATTCAGCGAGCTCGTCTTTGTTAAGTTTGGAACTAGTCGCTGAAACAAAAGTATGCATATACACCATCACTGAAGTATTAAGTCAAACATGTACAACGCATAGATTTTATAACATGGAAATATTAATGAATTAACAAAATTACAACACTAAGGTTGAAAATAAATATCTAATATTTTTGATTAATGAAAAAAATTATATATTTATTTATAGATAGAAAATTGTTAAATAACTAGGCCTAGTGCACTGCTTTCCGGAACTTTATACACGTCATACTATTCTACTTCTTACTATCATTTCAACGTTTCCGATTATAATGTTGTTAAAGTGCAAATTTTCAAAATGAAGAAGAAGGTTTCTGGATTACACACGTCGATCGACAAGTTTTTCAAACAAAATAAAGTCTTTTATTTAGTCAGGGGTTGAAGTTTATTGTTAAATAATTATAAAAAGACTGTCTGAGAAAACGATTCAAAACATCTTTGAAATCATGAAATTCTTTTTCCGTCCGGGGGCTTTGCCCCCTTCATCTCCCCACCAGGGCCCTGCACTCGACCCGCTGGGGGCCTAGGCGGCCAAAGACCCCTCGTCTGGGATCACACACTTTTGCTGGGCTAGCTACGCCCCTGGCAGTATCACACAGGTAAATTGACTTAATATCCAAATGTAATACTAAAATAATAAGTAAGTCTGTGATACACCTGGACGTGTATAGGTAAGTCTGTGATACACCTGGACGTGTATAGGTAAGTCTGTGATACACCTGGACGTGTATAGGTAAGTCTGTGATACACCTGGACGTGTATAGGTAAGTCTGTGATACACCTGGACGTGTATAGGTAAGTCTGTGATACACCTGGGCTTACATAAATCAGTCCGTGATACACCTGGACGTGTGTAAGTAAGTATATAAGTACACCTGGACTTATGTAAGTAAGCATGTGTTACACCTGGACGCCTATAAGTAAATCTGTGATACACCTAGATGTATGTCGGTAAAAAACATAATGACATCAAATCAAGAACAATACCTACAGTATTTAATGGTAAAAAACACTAACCAGCTAGAGTGTGGCAGCGCCTTTACATACGATACCATATATCACATTTGATGTGAACGGGGATGTATGGACGGACCATTGGCAAAAAGAGAAAGTTAACGCTGCAAGCATTATAATTAGAATAATAAGTCAAAGAAAGACTTAAACACACCGTTAAATTATCTACCAGCCAGGTCGGACATGGCCAATGTTTATTCACTAAGACTCTTAAGTACTCGCGTACGGCCTAGCTTGGTGTATGATTACAGGTAATCCCTCTGTTGAATGGGTTTGAATACACGTAAACATTGCTTAAAAGCAAATCTTAAAAGCGTAGTGGAATGCGACAGGAAAACCAGCTTCAATACCATACCGAACACTGAATTTTAACTAAGGTCGTTACTACTCTCTTCTGGCTTCGTTAGCATATGAAAAGTAGGTTCGGCGAGTTTTAATTAAATGAACGGTAGACTGGTCAACGATGGCGAGTTCCCCTGGTGAAAAAGTAGTTCTATCAATACAAATAACTCATTGTTGTGTTATCGTAAACAAGGTATACGGTTAGCAAAACCACACGATGTATTATATAGGTGCATGTATCATTGAATACGTATCTGTACCTACATAGAATTGTATCAGTCAGAGAGTAACATCAAGTTAAGTAAGTACTAGATGTGTAATCGGATGTAGATTTGTAATACATTCGTAATTCGGATCTTATAACATTAACGTTAGGTGCAGAGGCTCGCCACTAATGTCTTTCTATACCCTCGCCAAAATACAAGTTATCTTTTAAGATACTGACCAAGTATTCTCTATATAAGGGTTGTTGGCACTGGTAACTGATTAATATCGACCAGTTAGGCACACAGAAGGCATTATAGCTAGATATCATGTCAGTCAAATACATACTCACCCATTTCTTATTCCAGCGTACCCTAGCGTGTTTCAGCGTATGTCAGCGTATGTCCAAAAAGTCCATACGTTCCTCATACGCTGGCTCTATACGCTAGAGTGTGACAGAGCCTTTAATAAAAGCTGTGATGGTGCACACTACCGTAAACTCAATTACCAGATGTCGTGTGAGAGTGTAAAATGCAGTTAGTGAAATATTTACTCACCCATTTTTAGCTGTGGTGGTGCACACTGCCGTTAACTCAATTACCAGATGTCGTGTGAGAGTGTAAAATGCAGTTAGTGAAATATTTACTCACCCATTTTTAGCTGTGGTGGTGCACACTGCCGTTAACTCAGTTGACAGAAATGTGTCGTGTGACAGTGTAAAATGCCGTTTCCAACGTAAACAGGTCCGGGTTGTATCCGTTGCCGACTGAAATCTGTGTATGACAGGAGCTGTATATTCAGCTGATATTAAAACCCGGCCAGTTTATTGATTGCAAGCACACTCAAACTGGATCGTCTAGTAAGTATTGCCAGGACCTTTAACTTAAGGTGGACATCACCATTAGCCAGGCGCTCAGGACAATCCCGAATTACGGCACCCAGGGTTAAAACACCCTAGTATAGCTTATATACATGTATAACAAACCGTTCGATTTGATAGGAATATCCGTAATTAACTGTTATCACAAACATAATTTCAGCAGTACAGTTAGAATTACGGCAAAGCTGAATGATGGTCTGTTACAATATATCTAAACCCTAATTTGTTACATAGGGTTTAGATATATTGTAACAGACCGAACAATGGCAAAAACAAATATAACAGCTTCTCAATACATAATCTGCTTTCTTTTACAGTAACCTTGGCTACCAATAAAAGTTCTTAGAATACGGCATCCGTAACAAGAGCATTGACAAGCTACACTTACATGTTATTGGTTTAGAATATCAATAATTATTAACAACACAACACAACGACGTCTGAAACTTTTCCCTTTTTCGATGTCACCTACTTTTCATTTCAAACATGTATTGGCATGCACCGTGCAGATAGAGGGGTACAATCTAATTAAATTCGTGTATTTTCTTCCGAAATTTCCGGAGCGCCATACGTCAAAGGCAACATTAGGTTATCAAAGTGTTCTAAAGTCGAGGATATAATGCGAGTAATATCAGGTCATGTACACGGTATTGATGCTCGCGAGCTGATTACCTGATTTTTTTTTTTTTTTTTTTTTGGGGGGGGGGGGGGGGGGGGGGGGAGGAGGGGGGAGTGGATGTTCGCAAGCCGAGGCCGTAATGCGACCTGCGAGTCATGAGTGACACTACAAAGACTTTATTTGTTGGTGGAATATCATTGGATCATGACTAGAAAGCTGTTCGAATGCTACTCCTATGTCTTAGAGTCATATTCACAACAAAGGGCAAAGGTAATTTCTTAAATCTATATGAATAGATGCCTGAACTGCGTCCGTCGTGACAGAACATGTGCTGCCTTCCACTTCCATATTCCTTTCGGGTCGTAAACTCAAATGTTCATATCAAATACACCTTAACACTACTACCCATTCCCACATGCAGCGGTATGTGGTATAAAGTCATTTAATTTGTATATAAAAGTATGACTTATCAATGTCGTATGAAGTCGCAGTATAATGCCATTAAACCATGGGTGTGTCATACCCGAATGTAACGGTGTGTCATCCGGAACAGGTAAGCTGTCCGTATCTATATGTACTACGATCAATTTTATTTCAACTCAATTTAATTTTATTCCGTATACAACAAATAACACGGCCACAATTCAAAAAACGCTATCACTTACATCGTTGGTGCCGAACACCAAAGAGGTGTTCTTCGCAGAATACGGATCCTTTATTTGTTACCATGTAGAATACCACACAACGCATTCATTCTGATATTTCGCATAGTTTACGTAGGATTCAAGTCCACGTCAACACAAAAAAAACTTCATTACTTTAACCCTTGTATAGAAATATATGGTCGGGTGGCGCAGTGGTAACGTAGTGGTAACGTAGTGGTAACGCACTCGCCTTTCACCTAGCCGACCGGGGTTCGATTCCGGGAACGGACGTGAAAAGGTAAGGGGTCACCTGCCCGACCACGTGGGTTTTCCCCGGGTACTCCGGTTTCCTCCCACAACAAGACCCTCCTTAGAATTATTTTGTTTTGTTCACATCCTAAAGTCCCAGACCTCAAAGTCATAGTTCAAAATGCATGATGTGTAAAATATTTTACCTTTTGCCTTGTGTAATTGTGTGGCATGGATAAATTCACCCCTATAAAATAAACTAAACTTGAGTAACAAAATGATTTACCAACTTGATAAACTCTCCACAAAATTTCCACTGCTCGTTTGATAAGTATCGCTTACGTTTTTCTAACAACCAATATTTTCGTCTTACCCACATCCCATAGTCAAACCTCAGTGCTCTGTATTCCTCTTTCAAAAGCCTAGCATGATTTGAAGGTCAACAATGACGTCAGCTCAAATAAAACACAATAGCGCTTATATTACATGATTAAAAATGTAGACTTTGATAATAAAATCCAGTTAATTTTAATCGTTGGTAAAATTCCCCTTGTAATTATCCAAGCTGTAAGCCATACATTGGAAACATTTCACCGTGGATGGAACGTTACAAAAGATCAAACGCTTTCATATATGTAGCTGACGTTAACCAACAAACGTCCTCTTAGAAGACATTTCCTGGTAAAACAATAAAATTATAGTCAACATGTACAAAGAGATGCCTTTTGCTGTTTAATAATGATGTAGTAATGTTATGATGGAAACTGTGTTTCTGGAACAACTACATCCTCTTTCTTACTCTTATAAATGTAAACTTTCACTTAGAAGGTAAACAAATTACAGTGAAACCTCGCTATTAAGACCACTTTGGGGACTGGACAAAAGTGGTCTTAATAGCGAGGTGGTCTGAATAGTGAGGTGGATCAGACTGACCGCAAAGAACCATAACTCTGCTTGAAATATATATACAATGTATGTGTGTTACTTATTAATTGTACCTATGTAACTGTTAACATTATTTTATCACCTATATTATACAAAGTATCACAACTTTTTCCTACCAATCTTTAGGAAACCAAAAAACATATGATACAGCGTTAAACAATTTCAGTAGAACAGCCATTCTTCCGATGAAATATTCATTAACGACCCGGTCTAAATGATTTATGTTCCTCATCTGTAACGTGGGGTTCCGTATTTTCAGAAGAAGGTTTTTTTTAATATCTTTACCATATACGTTAAAAGGATCTGGAGATAAAGATTCCACCTTCCAGAGTCAAAGTTTAACCTATCACTTTCACTCTGAACAAAACTACGTTTATACCTGGTTTCTCATTTGTCGAAACAAAAATCTCTCTATTCTTCTAAAATAACTCACACGTTAAGGACCACACCAGGGTTTGTAAGGTTTCTTTACGTTTAAACCGCTGAAGACAATGAGTGGTGGTTCTAAATGTATTTATGTTGATACGGTCCTTGAACCTATCAAATGAATAATATGTTATACTCAGTAAATCAGTCACTATGTATATTTCCTCTCCCCTGAAGTTGCCTTATCCCTAAAGGTGCTTTGTACATGGGCAATACATCATTGCGATTGTAAATTCAGGCTTGACAATCACGAGGCTTGATATACAGAAACAAAAAAAGGTGTAAAAAACATTCCTCGACAACTTTCTTATTCGTAAATTTTGTAATATCTTAAAATCTGAAATTCATTTTTCTTAACTTTCGATGTAAGATAAATTAGTTAAGTAGACCAAACTTTGAGTAACTTTGGGTAATCTATCAACTATTTTGTCGTCTAATGACCCAAAACACATGCAGGGCATGTGCCATTTTATTAAAACGTCAACTTAATCTAGGAAGATGGGCTTGCACAATATATAAGCAGTCTATAATATATTCATTTATGTTTGTTAAAGTTGTATGTAAATGTTAACATAAGTTTTGCTATCGGTCGTATTGTTTATATAAAACAATGTTAATTGATTATGAAATCAGGATTTCGATATATTTTATAAAAGATATATTTCCGAAGTATTGATCTGAAGAATGAAGACTGTATATAGTAAACAATGGTAGGAGTTCAGTTAAGCATGGCTACCCTTACACTTACTTCTGGTCGTACGTTTAATACTACTAACAATGAATTCTTTGTTTACATAGACTGTTAATCCTGTGCTTCTGGAATTTATCCAAGCTGTATTGTTCTGTTTCACAAAATTATTTTCACATGAATAAATCTCTTAACGTAGCGGTCACATTGAAAGTAAGCAAGGGCAAAGGTCAACCAGTGACCAGGTACAAAGTTAGGAAACAACAACGGTATACATGTCGGTGTATGATATATGAATATCCTATCTCATCTGGCTTTGTCTGGTACAGTATTTAATCATACCAAAGAACATGACCGTTTTGAAGTATTCTAATAGAGTATAACAAATCCGTGCTAACGTGACGTAAAAGGTGTGAGAATCTTTGTAACACAAGGACGAGTAGACAAAATGTCAATGTCAGTTTACTCATGTAGTATCACTTTATATTGGTTATAAAATGTATATACCTGGTAATTCATTATGCATTTATTACGAAATTCTGCGTTGTTTGTTAAGGATTTGATTCCACAAGACTGAAGCAGTGATACAATAAGCACCATGTTACATGTTAAAAGCGTTCGTTACAAAATGCAAAAAATTAAAAACTTTATCATCTTTTTCATAGTTATGGTCATTTAGTGCCAGCATTTCTAGTTACTCGCTGGATGTTATGTGTATTTATTCTACGACCCAGTCGTTAACATGAACACATGTGGACACATTGAATTTAAACACTTTTCTTTTCTATCTTTCTTGAGAGTACCAAATATGACATGGTTTTTTGGCGAATAAATACATTTGTGTTTCATTTTACTCTAAAGCATGCTAATTCTTCAATAAAAACCTTGTTATCTTCCCAAAGTATTAAAGTTTAAACAGTCATCCGCTGATATTCATAAAGTGTTACTGTTGTGAATACGACTTTTGTGTGACCAATACGACAAGAGTCAATTTGGATTTTGTATTTCAACATCAGACTTGCAGACACTTGTACGAATTATTTACAGCAAAGTTTCACAGAGAACCGTCTTAACATAACAAACTTTTCTATACTTGTGTTGAATCCATAATGAATATGAATGATG